CCCCCCCCCCCCGCCCCTCGACGTTAGCGTTTCCTTCTGCTACAAGAAACCTAATTCTCTGACCAGTTCCTTAGCCATTAATAACACCCTCAAGAAGGCCTTGGCCGAGGTTCTTGTCACTTACTACGCCTTTGCCGGAGAAGTGGTGACCAATTCCACCGGAGAACCCGAGCTCCTCTGCAACAACCGTGGAGTCGATTTCGTCGACGGCTTTGCTGACGTGGCACTCCGGGAGCTCAACCTGTACGATCCTGACGAGAGTATCGCTAAGTTTGTTCCCAAAAACAAGCATGGGGTCATATCCATTCAGGTAAAATACGATAACAATACAAAAAAAAAAAACTTTTTATACTTTTGCTGAAACCCATTTCTGTTTGATGTGTTGTTGTCTGAAAGGTGACCGAACTGAAATGTGGGAGCATAGTGGTCGGAAGCACGTTCGATCATCGGATCGCAGATGCGTACTCGGCAAACATGTTTTTCGTCTCATGGGCTCAGATGTCTCGATCTGAACCAATCTCTCTGGTCCCATCTTTTCGAAGATCTCTCCTAAACCCTAGAAGGCCATTACTGATCGACTCATCTATAGACCTAATGTACATGCCTGTCTCATCCTTGCCTCCTCCACAAGAAACTTGCGGCCAAGATGTTCTCACGAGCCGTATTTATTACATCAAATCCGATGTTATGAACCAGCTCCAGGCTCTGGCCAGTTCGAACGGTTTCCGTTGTACGAAACTCGAATCCTTCAGCGCTCTCCTGTGGAAACTCGTGGCGAAACACGCAAGAAAATATCCCAGAAAGATCACTTCGAAACTCGGCATAGTCGTTGACGGGAGGAGGAGACTTGCGGATCAAGAAACCGACAAGAAGGAATCGAACATGAAAACGTACTTCGGGAATGTTCTGTCCATCCCATTTGGCGGGCGGAGGGTCGATGACTTGATGGAGAAGTCACTGTCTTGGGTGGCCAGTGAGATTCACGAGTTCTTGAACGGGGCGATAACCAAAGACCACTTCTTGAATCTGATCGATTGGGTCGAGACCCAACGGCCAAAACCGGCGGTCTCTAGGATTTACAGCACCGGTTCGGACGACGGACCGGCGGTCGTGGTTTCCTCGGGGACCGGTTTTCCGGTCAACAAGGTGGATTTCGGGTGGGGCCCACCGGTTTTTGGGTCGTACCATTTCCCGTGGGGAGGAAGCGCCGGCTACGTCATGCCGATGCCGAGCGCCGCCGGGAACGGAGACTGGGTGGTTTACTTGCACCTCACGCAAGGGCAGTTGAAGTTCATTGAAGAAGAGGCTTCCCATGTGTTTAAGCCCCTTAACAGTGATTATCTCAAGATTTAAGCGTTTTCTGTGTCTAATTATATATATCATTATGGATCCTTGCTGTTATTGGCTTTGCGATGTATCTCTCGAGAGGCTGTGTGTATATATGTGTGTACTGTATGTATGTGCCTCTTTCGTGTATTTGTATTTGAATTATTGTATATATATAGATGCGATCATGTAATTATCTATTATTATTCGATGGCATGTTATAGAGATATCTATGTCGTCCATTCACTCAATTCAAATAATGATCATACATATATACATATACATATATATATATATATATATATATATTAGTGGTTCTTAAATATCATTGCATTCAACCCAAAAACAAATTTATTCAACCAAAAAATATATATCATTGCATGCAATTCATCGACAATTTCCAAAGACTGAATCCACAAAACAATTATGCAAGATTAATTCAGGTTCTGTTCCGGAAAAGGAATGTATAAATAAAATCAAATGATTTTTAGGGAAATTGTTAGCCACTATCAAAATATTTAGTGAATATGAGTGTTCACCAGTACACTTGAGAGGAAATAAATAAATAATAGATGAATATTACTACAACTAAAAGGACAGTTAGTATGCCAAAACATGGAATTTGTGTTACATTAGAATGTTAGTTGGTCGTCTCTTACAGTAATTAAATTAAAATACAAAAATCATATAAAATCAGTTATCGCTTCATTCAATTCGCTTTATAGAATTAGTGATAATGACTCGATAAAAGAAGATTGCCGAATATTAGGGCATGTACGGAAGTGGTCGAATCCTTGCCTTTCATCGTATTTAAATCGTAAAAAGTAATTTTAGTCGACAGGTCAGATATTTGTGGACTTTAAGATTTGATGCAAGGCTGGCTTTTATTGGGTCATATTTCAAATCATATTTCGATTAAAAAAATGATTACAAATTCTGAGTTAATATCTTGCAAGATAAAAAAAAAAAGTAACAATTGTTATTTTATTTTTATCGAATTTAAAATCTTAATCCGTAAATTTAGGTCTCTAATGTTCATTCAATTTTTATCAAATTTAAAATTCGTTATACAAAAAGTTAATTTCATTTTAGTAAATTTAGGTCTGGTTTCGTCAACACTACCAAAATCCTAATCAGTAATGTCCTTATAAAAGTTTAATAATACATGTTGGTAGTTCATCTTCCAAGTAAGATTAATTAACGAAAATAATTAATCCCGGTTTAATCATTAATCACAGGACACTCCACCCAACTCTACCAATACAATTAAATAATTTTTGCTTAAGGAAAATTAAGATAATATGCCACGTGGACGAATCTATGTAATAAAGTGGTACATCTGATTTCATGTCGTTGAGGGAGATGAGAATATAATGTAATTGGTTCTTAGAGTCAACAATACATTGCCTCCCTAACTAACAACTCTGTCCTTTATAAGGTTTATATATAAAATACCAATAACTATTACCATATATAATTTTCATAAATTAATATTTCAAGGTAAGAAACTGAATTTTCGGTATGGGTTTGTAAAATTTTGAAAGCTATTACTTGAAGAAAAAAAATTGAAAATTTTGACAAGGCGAATGGATTTAGTCCTTATGCAAGAACATGAAGATAACAAATCGGGTATACACACACACATACACACTATATCTTATGCGTATTATTCATTTTTTTTAATGTTATATAGTGTAGTCAAATGGTTAACAAATACATTTTGTGGTTAGGAAAAGCTAATAATAAACATTTTGTTAGGTGCACTAACATTAAAATACTATATATGAAGAATTACTATGCTGTTGTAGTAATTGGGGGGTTGGCAAAGATTGAGGAGTAAAGATGCACATTTTTAATTTTTGATTTTTGACAGTAATGATGCACATTTCACTTTCGAGTTCACTTTATTTTATTAAAATAAAAATATTTTAAAAATTTTATTTTATTAGATTATTTTTATATTAGATTAGTACTTAACAAATTTGATTATTAAATTTGGTTTAAACCAAATTTGATTATTTATTTTGGTCAATAATTAAACCTCGATGGGTTAAACTTAATTTGACTCAAAAGAGTGAAATATACAAATTAACATTCATCAATGATGGAGTGATAATTAATGCATGTGCATGATATTATAGTTGAATATGGGGTGGATGTCAAATTCTAACCACGTTGACCAGCTCTTTAACCCTACCTCTATAATCAAATACGCGTATCTAAATCATCCAAAAGAATAATACTTTTAAACAAAATTACCATATTCCATCACATAGATTTTAAAACACCCGAGATTGGGTTTGGGGGCTCAACTGGATAGGAATGAAGCAAAACTTTTTCTCAATTCGGGTTCGAATTCTCACTTGGAAAGAGATATTCACATAAATTTTTTCGATGGTTTGGGAAATATAGTGAGAAAAAGCGGAATTATAAAAAAAAATTAAAGTGAAAAAAAAACCAATCTCGTCCTTTGTTTTTTTTTTAAAGACGAACACATCCAAGCTTTTAGAGGGAAATAAAAAGAATCCAAATTAAGCAAAAGCCGATGATGTTTCAATTGATAAAATTACTCAATTGTTTCACGATTGTGTTTTGTTATTTTAATTATTATCTTTTTTTTCGTTAACTTTTGTTTTTTTACCTGATTTTTTATTTTATTTTATTTTTCTCTATCTGTAAAGACGTATAACTCTTATCAACTAAAGAAAGTTATTTAGACATAAACTGCATCTGTCAGATGAACAAGAACAAACGCACGTATATCTCTTAATTAATAATTATCATAATATGTGTTTTTAAATTAAAGGAGGAATTTTAAGAGAAAGGTTTAATTCTGATAAATTATAATTTTAGGGTTCTATTTTGTTTTGTCCCGAAAATCTAAAACTTTATTTTACTCATTTAAAACATCCGGACTTTCCCACCAATTAATTCGGGCAGTTTGTTTTCGATGGACTTGGGCCAAGCGATGAAAGAATCTGGGCCCATAAATGAAAAGCCCAAAGGGACAATCTTCCGCAATCCAATTTGATGAATTTACTGAAATGCAAACCGTCGTTATGTTTATTTAATTAAATTGTGGGAAACATTATAACATAAAATGCATCACTTAAATTTTTTTTCATCTCTCTCTCTCTCTCTCTCTCTCTCTCTCTCTCTCTCTCTCTCTCTCTCTTAAATGGCGAATGAAACAAGCCTGCGATACTGAGAAAGAGCCCACAAGGGGAAGGTGTTTCTGTAGGCGGCATAATGCATCATGCAGCTCCTCATGACTGCTCCCGTGATCTCCTTCAAAAACATACGTAATTCACCCAAACACTGATCCATATCATTTTCTATTACGAATCGGGTTTACATATTATTTACTTTCTATATTATTACCCTTTTTTGCTTCCTGATTATAGTAACAGAAACGATCCAAACGGCTTGGAACGTAAATCTCGTGCAACAATCTTGGAGATTGTAACTTTAAAACACTAAGCAATTTCCAGTTCTCAGAGATACCTGTTGAGGAAAATCGCCGTTTTCCAGTTGGGAGTTGATGATCAGCTTCACGGCAGGGTGGAGAGGGGTTGGATCTCTCTCGGCCTAATCGCATAACGTAATAGCAGATTAAACAAGGCCCCTTGCAAGCTTAACTCAACACTTACTACATACATACATATATATGAATGTATATGTATGAATGTATGCCCGTATTTATATATGTATAGTCCACAAGAAAAGATCAGAAAACCTGTCCAGCGTGAAGTAGACCCATCACAGCCCACGCGGTCTGGACCAGGTTTGATCTTTCCCCCTCAGTCGGTATGTATCTCTGCACACCAAAATAATATATTGTTCAGGCTGATATAAAAGGTAAAACCAATTGTTTCCACAGCTTTAGATAGATTAACATATATATACCTTTTTAGGACAAGACAGATAGCTTTCTCCCCAACCTCCGTTGTCTTTCTGGGTTTCGAGGAGGAAACGAACACCTTTCCGCATAGCCAGGCAGTTTCCGTAAGTCTTACCGGCCTCTGCTAGACCTGCAAGAGCAAACCATGTGCCATATGTGAAGCAAACGCCCCAGCTTCCGTACCTGCCATTTGAAAGATTAAGTCTTGTTGTTTTTTATTGAATCTTTGTGAATAATCCAAAAACCCCATCTGAACTAATAAGGTACCATGAACCATCAGGCATTTGCACGTTTTCTATGTATTCCACAGCTTTCTCGAGGAAATTATTTATCTCTTCTGCCCTGTGGTCTGGGTATAGTTGCCTGAAGAGAACCAATGCCTGGATAGCTGAAGAAGTACATTCGCAGTATTGATACTCTATCAAATTGTTGACAAAGAATTCCGAGGGATTGAACAACTGAAACGCAAACAGAAGAAGTTAAATCTCATTTCCTACTTTTAACAAAAAAAAAAAATATCATTTCCTTCATGGTAAAACATCTCTGTGGTAGAACAGTTCTTACTTCCAACCATCCGTATGCTCTGGCAGGCTCCCATGGAGTCACACCTCCATTTTCGCTCTATAAAATTTCCTCAGATAGAAAATGAGCAGATGAAAACTAACTTATCACAACATGACTTAGTCCTATGTAGGAGGATAGTGCTCACCTGTAAAGACAGTATGATATTAACAGCATCATAGAGTGGCCCGGGATTCAGTTTTGGGCCCACAACATCCGGTGGCATCATCGACAGCAACAGGCAACACTGACGAGGCAAGAAGGATACATTAATTAGGTCATAATCCTTATAGAGAGTGAATATTGCTCTTTTCGAATGACTTGAGGACCTTTAAGCCCTCGGCTGTGCAGTCCGAAACTTGCCACCCATGATCTCTCTCTGAGAAAGTCCATGCCCCTCGAGAAATATGACGATACATGCTCTTGAAGTCACCAGAAGGATTCTCTGCTACCTTTGGATTCCAATTTGATTATAAATATTCAATTGTACAGTTAAACTTTTTTAAGTTGCCAGAATATACTGCAGGGGAAATCAAACCTGAGATTTCTTCAGGAAGTCGTGTCCTCTCCTTAGTACATTGGATATCTCATCGGAGAGATTACTTGCAAGTAAAGCTTGGATCGCAAGCCCTGTATCCCAGAGCTGACTCGCAAGTCCCTGAGTGAATAAATCCATATCACTCAAGATATTTTCTATTTCTTATCAGTCCTCAGCTTGTATACATAAAATTTGGATTTTCCATCTCCATTAATACCTGCATTTTCATTCCATCTTCTGCAACCCACAAGTAATCGGGGATTCTGGCAAGGTGTTTCTTGAAATAATCTCCATGCGGGTCTTCAACCCAACAAGCCAGCATGCACAGAGCCTAAATAAAGAAAAACGAGACGGTAGCCTGTGTTTCAGAAATTCAGAGATACATCCCAAGTGCTCTCTTTTATTCCTGCCCATGATTAATGTCTACTCTTACCTTTTCAACAGATCCAATGGTGATATAACGACTATTTTCGTCTTCATAATGTATGTGTTTCATTGCCACCTTAAGAGCCTTTTCCCTAAGAAGCTTGTTAAATGGCCAACGTGTAAGGAAAGGCTCCACGATGACGTAAAGACAGTCCCATATCAAATCTTGAATTAAAGGATGCAGATAGTACAAATCTTCCTACAAAATGAGAAAGCCAAATTTTTGTCCAAATTTAACTTCCAGAAGAGAATTTTGAAGAAAAAAGAAAGGACCAAGCATACCTTTGCACATAGATGACGAACTTTATTCCAGTTGATTGTTTCATAAGGATGTAAGTACATTTCCTTGCGTAGTTTCAGAATTAGAGGTGTTATTGGAGCCACAAATCTCTTCCCATAAAGATATGACAAAGGCATGTAAACCATCCGACTGTAGCACATCATGTTAGCTGCACTTCCATTTAAACGAATATTACACACAAAAACAGCTTTAAATGCATATTCAAGAGATCAATCACTAATTTTCAAGAAAACAACAGATAAATAGAAAGGAAAAAAAAAGCACATTCCCTGTAGGTTATCATTGGTTCCTTTTAAGTTTCTTGAACATAAACCAGAAGAAAACTCTGGGACCATGAGTTGATTTGCAGACACGGTTCTAATAACCTATTTCCCAATTCAGTTTGCAGCAAAAAGTAAGAAATTCAGGATGTTGGTAAAACAAACCAGGATGTATCGGAAGAAAGGAAGGTAGGATCCAGAACTCAGGGGGCATCGGATTGCTTCCAGACCAATCAAAAACACCAAGTATCTACAAACAATCAATGAAAATCAATACATCCTTAAAGTTGTTCTTGGGTCAGAAAATGAACTGAACTTTTACCGCAAGCCAAGCTTTTCCCCAAGAAGGTATATATGTTACACCACCATGGTCAAGAATCCATTGCCGGGCCCGTGTGCATGCATTTTCTCGTCCTCCATCAGGGCCTTCTCCAAGTATGCGCATACATATGTAATTCAGGGTGGTGCAGAACATTGTGCTGTGACCTTCTATGTGTAAACCCCACCCACCATCTTCGTTCTGGAAAGGAGAAAACATATGTTTTTACCATTTCCCGACATTAAAAGGGAAACCATGGCTTAAGATCGATGATGTATATCAGTGTTAAGACGTATGTATTGCACCTGGTGACAGTATATGTACCAAAGGGCTTGCTTACGATGCTCTGCAGAAAAAATCTCATCAAGAACTCCTGTGATGTACAGACAGAACACCTAACACAAAATCAGAAAGAATAGTAATGAGACAAGACAAAAGTGACCGAGTATCATTCTTCGTTCATATTCTAAAACAAAAAACTTGTAAATTTGAATCTTCATTTTCCTGAAATCACTTGACTATGCACCATGATCAGCCTGAAATTCATGGTTTCGACCACGGAGTAGCTGTGATTCCCACTTATTCTACTGAGATTCTCCTTCACATAGCAATGGAGAAGAGCAATGCAACATTGACAACAACTACACCCCCAGAATTACTTCTTTATCATTACCTTCCACGTATTCCAATCATAACAATTAACAACACTAAATCACTATAAAAAAAATATATAAAACAACACTAAATCAAAATGATTTCCGATTCGAAATCATAGTTCCTTTTCTTCTACACAATAGAAACCCTAATCCTATTCATGGTACAGAATTCACACAGATCTGAGATTGGAAGCAGAAATCAAAGTACCAACGGCGGAAGGGGGAACAAGGGGCCGGCGTTTTCGGCCGGCCAATGACCATCGTCGGCCTGCAACGCCGAGAAGAAACGAATACCTCTCCGTAACGCATTCGTTAGGGTTTCGGGCGGTATATCATCGTTGTCTTCAACCTTCACCGGCGGTATCAGTTGCTCGAACTCCTCCAGAAACTGTACAAACCACGACTTCTTTTTTAGGAAGCCCGATCATGAGCACAAATACAATAAATATCTATTTATATTATAAAAATATATACAAAACACCTATAAATTATTATCCCATTCATATTTAAAAAATTCAAATATACTTATAATATCAATTTATTATTATATAAGTAGTTTAAATTAAAATAGATAATTTAATAAATATATAGTTTTACATTATATTTTATAAAAAATGTTCGAAGTTGGAAATAATTAATTTTCATTAAATATTTGTAAAAATTATTTTTAACATTTGTTTTCTAAAAATATAATTAGGAAGAACAGTTTGGTTATGATTTGCGAATTCTATTGTGTATGTAAAATAAATCGAATAATATCAAATTTAAAATAAAATTTAATAGTATACTATGATAGTTTTAATTTAATTTAACATTAAAATTATGTTAAAATCTCTTTACAAACCTAAATTAAAAAATATCATAATATAATCTATATCTAATGGTGGATAAGGATATCCAAAATAATTTAGATATTCGTATATCTATCCAATATGTAAACATATTCAATTTTAATTTTGTTATCCATATTCTTAACTAATCTAAAATATAATAAAACTATAAAATAAATACAGACGCATATAAAATATATAATCTATCAAATAATAATGATATTCAAAGTTCGAAATTCATAATATAAATATCATAAATCAACTCAAATAGAAATATAATAATAATCTACCACATTCAATAATATTCAAAGTTCAAAATTCTCAAAATTCAAAAGATTATACATGATAAACATTTATATTCGAAAGATTAAAAATCATAAATTTCAATATATAGAAAACATATCTTCAATTTTTATAAAAAAATTATAAAAGTTAATCATTTTAAATCTCTATACCAAATTATATATTTATTTAATACTATTATTGAAAAATATTGATCGAAGCGAATACGACGGATAATTCAATTTTGATATCCTTATCCAACATTTTAAAACAAATATCCGCATGTGAATTGTAAACTCTAGATAAGTTGTGTATTTTTTATTAATAGACAGATTTGAAAAAAAAATAGATTACAAAATTTAAAATACAACAAACATAACAAATATATCATACTAATTTGACGCAGTGTGCATATATATATATATATATATGTGTGTGTGTGTGTGTATGGCTTCAAATTGAACAAAACCCATGGAATAAAACGGGCATGAGACCAAATTTTCATAAATACATGCATATACTTGTATATATATATATATCATTAGAAGGATAAACTTACTTGCATATATCCGACATAAGAGATCACTGCTTGCTTTAACCCGATACCGGTTCTCATAGAAACTCCGGCGAGTTTCCTCGACGGCAGCACGTTCCTCCGGTGTACCGGCGTCGGGATCGAACTCCCAAGTTTGCCGTCCGACAAAGTCGTTCGTACTGTACAAGTAAGGGTCCTCTTTACTGTTTCCCTCTCCGATCTTCAACCTCCACATCCTTATCGTGTTTGATAAAAATCTACACAACATAACAGTGGAAAAATTAGGGAATGAAAAATCATGAATTCGTTCTAAAATACAGTGAATAAACCTAATGTGTAACTTTATCCATAAACTCAATATATATATCAGGAAGCAACGCTTATATACAGTGTTGGAAGAAATGGACACAAGGCTTGAGAGGCTTGAGAGGGAGGGAGGGTGGAGAGCCTATTGGGTTTCTATCCAAAATACCCTTCTATCGTTAAAACTACTTTTACACATAATCTTTTTCAAATGTGTGCGAAATAATACTATAGTCACATGTTGATCACATTGGTGATAACGTTAAATTTATGGTGATTTAGTCGATTAGTGTTAAATTGCATCCTTTCATAGTTTTTGCTTACTTACGTGCAAAACTAAAACATTTTTTTTTATAATAGTATATAGCGATTTGATATACGATAGGTGAAATACTAATCTTCATGAAGAGGAAAAGGGTCTTATCACACACATATATATGAATATAACTCTGAATATATATAGGAATATTTAGGCTAAAGTCTTAGAAATATAAAAATTTGACTACAAAAAATATAACCTAATTTAATATGTAAATTATCAAATAAAAAATTTATTCAAAATAAAACTCATAATCAAGAAAAAATATTCTTTTTCTCTGCATAATATTTCTATTTCTATTTATATTAATATAATAATATTGATTATAATTATTTAAAATCATGGTATATTGGTCGATTTATTTCTATAATGTTTACTAAACTATTATATATTTGCACCCTTTTTTTTAAAAAGTTTTCAACTAAGTAATAAAAGAAAATCTTCGATTCTAGCCTTTCATGTACCCATAGCTTCTTCTTCCTCTTTTTTTTTTAAAAAAAAATTTATAATTTTCGCCATTGGAAATGTTCACGGAAGAAATGTTTAACATTTATAACACCGTTTTGTGGCTTAGTTAAGCATTAATTTTGTGTTTGACATTTCTACAAAATATGAAAAGCGTGCGTGTGTGTATATATATGGCTATTAGGCCATTACTAATTTAGCATCTACCCTTCGCACGTGTAATGTTAATTATGTGTAATAAAAATAGAGATAATTAGGACAATTTACGTGGCAAAGATATAGCTTGCAATTACGTCTCACAAAGGCCTTTTATATACATATGTATATATATATATATATCATTAAATTATTCTAAAATTTTCGAAAATGTGATTTACCCATTATTTTGGGCCGGGCCTTGTATTAGATATTGAGCCTCAGCAATCTAATTGATAGATGGGTTTCTCTTGCCTATGATTAAGGTCTTGAATGGTAGGATTTTTTGGAGTTTTTAGAATCCAAAAACCAAAAAAAATAAAAAAAAAACAACATTCAAGTTTTTACAAAATTACTTTTTCTAAAAATTTGGAAAGCCATTTTAGTGAAAAAATCAATGAAAAACCAAAAGCTAATTTTTTTGAGTTTTCAAATATTATAAAATCTAAAAACCAAAAACCAAAAACTAAAAACCAAAATCCAAAAACTAAAACCAAAAACTCAAAATAAAAGTCATCTCCATTTAAAGCCTAAATATTCGAGCATGCGTGTTTTCATTCGCCAATCAGAAATTGAATTTAAGAAGAAAAAAAACAGAAAGAATTTTATCATTATATATATATATATATATAATTATTTTTACAATATAATACATATAACGATTTTATATAGATAAATGCGTTTCTAACTTCAATACTATTTTTAATTTTTTTTTGTCAACATTAATCTTAGCTATATATATAAGGGATGTGTGACAGATTTTCGATTTTTTTTTAAAATTAATGACCGACTTGTAAAATCATATTTCCTCAGGGACTTGCTTATAATTTTCGATTCCTTTGGCGGTTTCACAGTCTTTTAACCTTTTTTTTTTCCACTGTATTCTTCTGAGAAATCAAAAGTTTCCATCTTTTTTCATTGTTTAGAAGTTTGTTCTACGATTGAAGTTCTTACTTCTGTGCCCATTTCATCCTTCTCCGAGTAAGAATCCTTTGCTGTTTATTTTTTTTCTCTCTGAATCATACTATATATGTGTATGTATATCCTTGTGGATACATACAATTGTACGGACACGTCTGAGTTTGATCGATGTTCCGACCAGTTTGAGGGGCTGTATGTGTAATCTCTTCGTGACCCAGAATCTGTTTTTTTCGAGAAACCACAGTTTGAGATACGAATCCGTTCTGAAAACGGACACTGATATATTTCAAGGATTTTTTTTTTTTGGGTTTCGATTCTGTGGATCGTTTCTTTCTGTTCTCTCTTTGGAACTTATCTGAAGATGTAAGATCTTTTTTGGACAGGTCTCCATAAGTGCTTAAAGGGTGAGAGAGAGAGAGAGAGAGAGAGAGAGAGAGAGAGAGAGAGAGAGAGAGAGGGGGGGGGAGAGAGAGAGAGAGAGAGAGAGAGAGAGAGAGATGGGAGGAGTTGTAGGCAAAGCAGCAAATGATGTGGGAGTTTTCATCGGAAATGCATTTGCAGCGCCGTTCAAAGCCATTCTCGGAAGATCCTGCGAGTAACATTTACTTACGCCTTCTTCTCTCTTTCATTTTCCGGGTATCCGAAAACTTCAGCTGCCCTTACGAATACCCGAGACTTTCGGATTCAAATCCAGATAACACCCAACCTCGAGTTTGTTCGATATGAAGGATTAAGAATGATATTTGTTTTTGGGGTTTGGGGGTGGCAGGAATGTATGTACAGGACCATGGGATCTTGAATGTTTCATCGAACATTTCTGCATTCCAGATCTCGCCAAGCTCCTTATGATCTCTGCCCTCTCCTTCCTTAGTAAATCATCTTTCTTCTTCCTCCTCTGCTTCTTCTATCTACTTGTTGGCATCCTTCTGATTTTGTTCTCTCTTTTTTTTTTTTCTTTTCTTGCAGTTTTGATGTTCTTCTACCTATTGTTGAAGCTCGGAATCTGCCAATGCGCCGTTAAGAGCCTCTGCAAGATGTCTTGCGCCGCTTGCGAGGCTTACTGTTGCACCATTGGAGACATTGTCTGTTTCTTATGCCGCAAGTTACGGAACACGAAACGGGTTTACCGCAGGAGGAGGCGTTGGCACGACATCGAAGCCATGACCTACAGCTCGAGCGAAGAACTCGGGTTATCTGACAGTTACAGTCCCAGAAACATCAGTAGGAAGCGACGGAGAAGAAGAAGAAGAGGAGGAGGAGAAAGCGGAAAGACAGGGATGGAGAGCGGCCGCTCTTACCACAACCGAAGCAGCAGTAGCCGGCATCGCATAAAACTGAGCAGAGAAGTTTCGGTTCGTATCGGCGGGAAGTCCAGAAGAGGAAGAAGAAGCAGAAGAAGAAAGCTTGAATTAGAGAGAAGGAATAGCCGTGGGAGGAGGAAGGTCAAGGCCCTCAAGAAAAGGAGGGTCCAAATGAGCAAAATCTAACATATAGCTTCAAGACTAGGGTAGTAATTTCGGGTTTCGATTTGGATTCAGATTCAATTATTTCAATTTTAGAAAAAAGATTCACCGCGTAGTCATCCTCCCGTTGGTAAATAGATACCCGACTTTCGAATTCAGTAGCCAAGAGCTACATAAGGTAAGCCTAATCAAGAAGGGGGCAATTCAATTATACAGGCACTTGATCAATAAAAGGGAAGCAATGCATTCATTCATCTCTTACACCAAATAGGAGGACATTAAGTTCCAACTAATCTTCATATGGTTAGGCATAGACGCAACGAAACGAAGGAGGTCAGGTTTAGAGTTGATACCCGAGGGCAACGTCTCAGATCCTTGTCGGTTCCAAACGTGTAGAAACTTGTCGATGTTCGGGATCACCATTTCCCGACAATGGAGATGTAACAACGGGACTTTGGACAACACGCTTCCTTTCTGGACATCGAGACCCGAAGGTCTCCGCATTTTGTATGGTTTTCCGCTGGTTGGTTCGATGTCGACTCGAGGCATCTGTTTCCATCTTTTGTGCACGAACCAACCGTATTTGTAATCCCCTACGATTGGAGTACCGAGAGCTTCTGCGCAATGTACCCGCAGCTATGGTAGAATGGCAAGGCGAAAACTCTCGGGTCAGGACGGGGAAAAGTATAACCGCAGTAGAATTAACAAAAAAAAAAGAGCTTTTTCCGAAAGGGGATTGGGGACAAAAATCATTGGCTGAGAATGTATAAGAGCAGTTTATATGTTGAGTAGTACCTGATGTTTTCTGCTAGTTATAGGACGAAGCTCGATCCATGAGCAGCCATTGATCATAGGTCCAAGAACTCTATACTCTGTCAATGCTTCGTGTGAAGCTTCCAGGCCTGAACACTGAGCCAATACGATTCTCTCGGTCTTTCCATCATCGAGAACCACCTGAACACGGTATCGTTTTGAACGTTTAACATCTTTTCTGGATACCCAAAATGCCGAAGATAGTCATAGAGATAGATACCTTCGACAAAGGAGCAGAGATAATGCCTTCCTTCTCCTTCGGGGAACCGATAACCAATGCCCAGTACTTCTGGTACATCGCTTCACATGCATCATTCCATTCCTAACATTGGTGGAACACACAAAATTACTCCAGGTCTCTCTCTTCACGTAACGAATATGCCAGATTCAGCAGAGAGTATATACTTTTTGTCTATGCATATTAGCCGCACAGGCCCAGTTACCTTGTAGGATGACTTTGAGCCCTTCAGATCGCTGAATAGCCAATGAAGCGTATCTATACTTTGTTGGGTTCGACCCATCACAATCAAGCCACTGCTTTCCCGATCCAGACGATGAACCTGATCGTAAATTCAAATAAGAACGACGGGAAAAAATGCGGTAAGAAAAAGATCCTCGAACTGAAAATATCTTCCTGGCAGCGACTTAAAAAACGTCACGAGAAGTTCCCCACCAATCATCACAAGACCAGAACTTACCAATTTAGGACCTTCGTCATTACCATACGACAGAGCCGCAGCTGCTAGGGCATCCATGCTGTTATGTACCGCAACGTGTCCCTGACCAAATAATTAATAGCTAGCACATAAGAAATTGCGTAGATGCAAAGATGTGATGACACACTTCCATGAAGTTGTTAGATCATACTGCTCCTTTGCTTTATGTTTCTTGTTTACACAACTTATGTGATTCATCCACTTATGGAACTAGTTTACTGGTAAAACTGCTGAATCTGGGGTTAAATAAATTCAATTGATCCAATGAGCAAAACAATGAAAGGGCGAAATTTACAGGATTAAAAAGATTTAACATGGGTGGCAAACACAATAACTTTTCTTACCTTGACGGGTAGCTTAGGCGGCTTATTAAGAACAATAATAGCAGAATCCTGCGAGACAAAAGAGAATTTCAAGAACGATAAGAAAAGGTAAAAAAATACAACTTATCGCTCGAGAAACTTCGTACAAGATTCCAATCCAAACATGCCTCACAAGCATACCTTGTACCTGACAAGCCTTTGAAGATATTTAATCTCGTCTGCATTTGGATACAATGTTCCGCTTGGTATGGTGTCATATCTTTTGTTAATTCTGGTTTCAGCCACCGAGACAGGTAACCAGATTCTGTCTCCTATGCGCATCACCTCGTTAAGCTTAATCTGCAGATAAGCTGTACAAATTGTAGCAATTCTTAAATCCACGCCTCAATATACAATGACAGTTACTGTAAGAAACAGACAACATACCAGAATGCTCAGATTTATGTTCAGGCATAATGTTCATTTATATTCAAGCAGGAAATAATAAGAACAGAATGCTCATATTTATGATTGAGACAACCGGGCAACAATACCATTCTCATGGGTCTTGATTGATCTTCTTCTTCCTGTCTCCAAGAATCTCTAAGACCTCGACTGGACTCCATCCGAACCTGCCATGAAAACCAATGAAAAGAAACCTTACAGAAAGCTTAACAAATTCAGAAAAAATCCAGCAAATTCCATGGCCTCTACAAAAGGAATGCGCAATGTCTATAATCAGTGATTGTTATTCACATCTTGGATTCAAATTCTATCACAAGATGAACACTATGATGGATCCTATGTGGACTATATGCTCAGAGAAAACTATTTGAACGAATCTAAACAGTCCAAGAAACGTCTGAAACTCGAAGCAAATTCGATCAAAACTATGAGAAAGAGATCTATGACACTCACAAGGCCCTTGTTGAAATGAGATTGAATAGCCTTATCATGAATCTCATCCAAATAGTACTTCAGCCAGCTGATGGCAGTCACGTAGCGCTCTCTTCCTCCGCCGTCGTCTCCGGCGTTTCTTCCGGGAAGAGGGAGACCGGGGAAAGGCGGCAATGACATCAGCTGACGTGGCAACGGACCTTCCTTCGGGGGTCCGAGGTGGGCAACGTTGTTCTTGACGCGTATAACCGCCGGCGGCGGCGGCGCGATCCTCGAGAACCACCGGCTCCCCGAAAACAGGTACACGTGGCGGAAGCCGGAGAAGTTAAACCTTTGCTTCGTCTTCCACATAGTTATCTCCTCCGGCGAGCCCTCGAAGCGCGACGGCCAAAGCTAAAAGTCAAACAAATAGTCAACTTTAATTTCAATGAATAAATCGGAAAATTCAAAATGGGCCTATTAGACCTAATGGGCTTACAGAATTTTTTAATTAAAAGATAAATGGTTTAAATCTGATTTTGAATGTTTCGAAATTTTATGTTTCAATTACCCGAATTTGTATCCATTTATTTAAATTCAAATATTCACTAATTTTAGAAAGAAGAGAGAAAAAAAAACATGAACAGAAATAAAACGCTCTTTGAAGCAGGTAACCAAAAGCCAAAGAATGATCCCTCGAGGGTTTCCAAATACATCATTGCACTTATTGAGCAAACAAGAAACAGACATATACGTTCACTTTTGCCTGTACCTTGTTATCAAGAAATAAAGAAATGGACTCATGAAAACCATATTACTACACGGGGGTAAAGTACAAAAGCCGAAATCATCTAAGATCTCAGTCCGAGAACACGACAATGGCTGCTCAAAACCCGGACAAACCTCTGTCTCAAGTGTCAGAGATTCATCCGGTATGTGAGTTCACGCTAGAACAACCCCTCGCACATATATATAGAACCGGATTGGAATGGTGGCTCCGAACTCTTCTTCAGGAACATCTTTTTAGATTTCGGAAACTGATTATCGAGTTTCATCTTCCAGCGCTCGGAAGCCGGCTGTCAGATCCTCGTGCAGTTTCTTGAATTTCGCCACAAGAGCTCCCTCACCCTCAGCTGGGTCTTCGAACTTCTGAGACCTGTGGATTCACGGACAAAACGGTATTAAACCCAAAGGCAGACACGACAAGATTGATTGACCCATTTTACCATGTGAAAGAGGAGCGATTTGTTCAGTTTTACTTACACTAAACGGTAGAAGAGATCCCCCAAACGATGCTTGATGAGACTGTAAGTAATCTTTTGACCGTCCATCCCAGCTGCTCTCTCAACCGCCTGCGCGAATGGGATCAGAAATAAATTGGAATTAGAAGCCGACCGACACTTGGTACTGAGGATGTAGAGGAAACAAACTATAATTTATACGATAATCAAACTAATCCTCAAAATTTATAGCTTACGATCCTTCGTACCTGATTAGCCAAGTTGTAGAAATGAATAATGTTACGCATCATCCATACAGATTTGTAGAATGGGCAGAATTTATCATATCTGTTACGTTTGCCCGGAAGCACAAACAGTAAGAGCCCAGTTTCTCGTAAAAAAGAAAAGAAGTAAAAGCTGATATACCATCATAGAAGAAAACAGAGCCATAGAAAGCTGAAATCTTACGGTGTAAACGCATTTTGGGCAAGGTAGTCTTCCCTCAATAGCTTAGCTGTTTCCAGGGTGATTTTGTCTCCTTCAGCCAGAGCATCCTTTCCTACAAGCTGCATCCAAAAACAGGCCATGGCTTCGGGTTCAAAGCAGTTTCTTTCAGGAAGTCTAGATCAGATCAGGATGATATCCTTCAATCCGTTGCACCGTGTACAAAGGGCAAAACACTACCATGGAGAACCTCCCAGGAGTTGATAAAGATACTAAAATAGGAGAACCATACCTGGACAATTTCATTGAGATCATCTTCCCGTTGCAACACCTCACGTGCTTTTGTCCTGATGTTGATGAAATCTGGATCAAACTTCTCGTAGAAAGACTCTAATGCCTGGAAAAACAAAAAACGTTTTACTTGCGCACAAAATTGAGATCAATAGACAAAGTATCAGCCAAAAAGGCAGTCTTGACAAATACTGAGAAGATCTGAACATACCGTGGAGTACTTTGAGTATGAAATTAGCCAATTAACGGATGGGAAATGCTTTCTCTGAGCAAGCTTTTTGTCCAAACCCCAGAAGACCTGCAGAGAAAAGCAAACAAAATAAATTGGTAAACATATCAAAGTAGAGGAAAAAACACATGACATGTCTGAGTCTACCACATCGAGAAACAAACACCATCTACCTCATCTTAAGCAACATGTCATAATACGTACAAAATGCCGACCAAAAACTCTATCTTTACCTGTACAATGCTAAGAGTTGCAGAAGTCACAGGATCAGAGAAGTCTCCACCAGGAGGAGAAACAGCACCAACAATTGTGACACTTCCACTACGTTCTGGTCCACCAAGACATTTCACTTTACCAGCACGCTCGTAAAATGATGCTAAACGAGCTGCAAGATATGCAGGGTATCCACTATCGGCAGGCATTTCAGCCTACAAAACAAAATGATTCAGATACAAATAGAACAGAAAGATGAGTATCCATGCAACAAAAAGGAATCAGAAATCATTACCAGACGTCCAGAAATTTCTCTCAAGGCTTCTGCCCAACGGGAAGTTGAGTCTGCCATCATACTAACATTGTAGCCCATATCTCTAAAATATTCAGCAATAGTAATTCCTGGAGTTCATATTATAATAAAGGTAAAACATGTCAGGGGGTTGTAAACAAAAAGTTCGATTGTAAACAAGAATTCAGAAATAAATGAAATCAACATTCTTCAACAGGATTCCTACAGTTACCTGTGTAAATTGAAGCTTCACGAGCAGCCACAGGCATGTTAGAGGTGTTGGCTACAAGTGTCGTACGTTTCATGACAGACTCCTCTCGGCCATCAGGTAATGTCATTGTCAATTGAGGGAAATCCATAAGCACCTAAAATGTAAAAGGCCATCAAAACAAAATTTCTACTATTTCGAAAGTTACAAGCACATTCAGACTGAGACAAGAATATACCTCAGCCATTTCATTTCCTCGCTCTCCACAACCAACATAGACAACAGCATCAGAATTAGAGTACTGCATAAAAGAAGAAATTAGCTCAGGCAAGTTCATAATGTCCCATTATCAAGCTAACAAGTCCAATATGCGGCTCACAAAGCCTACCTTTGAAAGTGCTTGACTGATAACAGTCTTTCCACAACCAAAAGCACCAGGAATGGCACAAGTCCCACCAAGAACAGAGGGGAAAAGGGCATCAAGGACACGCTGAAATCAGGAAAAGAGCTATCAGCAAAGCACACCCTCAATGAAAACAATTTCCATAAATGGGTATCACTGGAGTAATCACCTGCCCAGTAAGTAGAGGAGTATCAGCGGCAAGCTTTGATGCAACAGGCCTAGGTGTACGTACAGGCCAGGTCTGCAACAATTCAAAAACAAAACCAATATAATAAACGGTATGAAATTGCTTTACAATTTTGAGGTTAAGTGTAGGAAGTTTAATAATCCACAATAAAACCTGAAGCATAGTGAACTGCTTCTTTACACCCTGGAATTCAAGCTCAAGCACAGTATCCTGCAAAATGAAAAATAGAAGTCAAAATGCAGTCCAACAAGGATGAGCAAGCAACGGCTTACTCATGAGAACCCTGATCGCAACATGGCTATAAATTAACATTAAAAGGAATCTCTTCAAAAAAAAAAATACAACACTATAATTAAAAAAAAATCAGAGATACCGAACAGCTTTAAAACATGTTCATAGAAGCTGAATACAAACCTTAAGGGAATATTGACCAGCTGGAGCAATGTAAGTGATCTTGCCCATGGCATGAGGAGGAAGGGCGACATGGTGTTGCATCAAACTGTTCTCGAAAACGGTCTGCATTTCAAAGGTTCATTCTACTCTCAAAAAACCGATAACCAGCCAAAAAGACAGAGACATAAAAATGATTAATTTTTAAAGAACAAACAGAGAACGAAGCGGCCAATCAACTTACTGCATACAAGTCGCCACCAGTAATAGTGTCGCCCTCGCCTGCAATCAAGTTGAATTTAAGGACCATCAAGCTTCAAAAGTAGGACAGTATTATCATTTCCAATATAGCTACATACGCAGCAGGCAACAATACCCAGTTTAGTTGGCTGGAACTCCCAAAGGGCATCTTTGTCAAGAGCCGGAACAGACACACCACGAGGGATGTACACATCACCAGATCTCTTTGCAATAGTCTTCAAAGGCCTCTGCGAACACAAAATTAAAGACACCGAAAAAGAACAGTGTGAGGGCAGAGTCAGTCACTGATACTGCAAGTAACCAAACACAAAGCATGAAATTTCATATGTAATGTGAGATTTTAAGTTCTGACTGAACCTGAATTCCATCAAAGATATTTCCCAGAATTCCCGGTCCAAGCTCGACTGATAGAGGCTGCAAATTCAAACAGAATTAAAAGCTAGTTGCAAATAAATTCCCCTTTCGAGACACAAAAGACCAAGATGAAGATGTGACGTACCTTGTGTGTCCGAAGCACAGGATCATTAACCGTCAAGCCAGCTGTCTCCTCGTAAACTGACAACCAAGTTGCCCATAAATTATGAGATCATATATACACAAAAGGTCACATAAATTGTTCGATCTGATAGTTTATCCAATGGGTGACAGAATGCAAGCACCAATCAATATGAAGTCGACAATTAAGTAGATCATGTGCCAAAACATAAGAACGAGATGTAACCTTGGATTGTGGCAGAATCTCCCTCCAGCCGAATGATTTCACCGATCAAATTATCATGCCCCACACGCACAAGTTCGTACATAGCAGCACCAGCCATACCATCAGCAACAACAACAGGCCCTGAAACCTGCATCACAATACTTACGAGATTATCAGTCTGATCGCCTGACCAGTGATTCCAACGGGAAACTGTTCAATTCACCAACAAGTTTACGGATCAAAGTGTACAGATCAGAGGTTCACATAAAAGTTACTGAACCAAAAGGGCCAGCCTATTCAGCCCTTCAAAAGAACAGGCAAAATAAAATAGGGAGACCAAAGTCGCAGAATCCAATTCTCCCACCGATCTCACCCGATATCGCTATGAACGTCTATATTGATCCTCAGGGAACTTGTATAGACAGACAAATCATGAAAAAACCGAAAAATTAAACCAGATTGACGAACGGGATACCTTACGAACGTAACCATACTCGCTCTCCTTCTCGGAATCCTCGAAGGTGGTGAGCTTTCCTCCGTAAAACGCCGGCATTTTCTCGAACAATGACAACTCGAGATTCAGAAAATCAAATCCGATCAGGCGACGAAACAAAATTCAACTCCTGAAACACCGAGATCCGATCAACAACGGAAAAGAAATAAGAAATCGGCAAGAAACCCAGAAATTGATCAACAAAACAAACCCAAGATTTTGAAATCAAACAAATCGAAAAACTAGAAGAAGAACAGAGAGAGATCGTACCAAGCGAAGAACAAGAGAGTAAGTGGTCACAACACGAGAGCGGGTGCACGTAATGACAAGACCTGAAGGAGTTGATCTGATTGAAAAAATAAAAACAAACATAATCAAGTGCATGCAGGCACACGATAAATCCCGTGAATCCTACTGTTTAAACGCCACGTGGCCAATTATCATGGGCCTGTCAGTAGATACGACGAAGATGTTGTAAAGGGCCCAATTAAACGGCCCGCTGAGTCCGTGGTTATGGATCATTGGATTGAATTTCCCGTGACTGTGATTGGTCGGAATGGCAATAGTAAATAATTATATCCAAATTAAATTTGACAGACATTAAATAATATCCATTTTTTAAAACTAAAAAAATAAAATAAAATAGAAAAATTTATATTTTTACAAAAACCCCTGAATATCATCATATATATGGAAATACGATGTTCATTTTCAATAAATATTTACACAAACAGAATGAGATGCTGCTACAAAAAAAACAAACATCTTTCTTATTCCATTTCTCTCTTTGGCCATATTCAGTCTTCCCTCTTTGCTGATCTGAGGTGCATCCTGGCTTGTGTTCTTGAAATTTACAGATCTTGAAGAGCCCTGCAAAATTGTTAGATTTTGTTTCAGATGCCACTATGGGAAGAGATGATGAGATTCACGGATAGATGCCGGATCCATCCATACCAAAATCTCATACATATACACGGATTTGTTACCAACTTCCACATTACTTAATACACGAACTTTAAAATTTCGAGGAAAATACACAAACTTTTTCCGCAAAATTTCACAAGAACTCCCAAAAAGCTACATGTCAAATAAGAAACAGAGTCAAAATATCGTGTAGTTTTTTACAGTTCTTGTAAAGCAATTCATGATTTTAACTGGTAATCGGGAAAAGTTCGTGAGGAATTTAAAGTTTATGTATCCATGTAGGAGAGGGTAACAAAATTCGTGTATTTATATGAAATTTTACCTTTCAATAATGATCAGAAGGTAATATTAGGCCGTGACTTACCCAGACGCCATTGCAACAAGTCGTGTGATCTACCCTTCTTCTTCCTCGGACCGATATGCAGTATCTGAAGTCGCCTCTATCTCCAGTGGATGTGGCTGTACACCTGAAATCCAATGAAAAACAGTCAAACGAAGTTGTCTCGATAACAAAATTGATGGAAATACAGGAACTTTGTTCATTAGGAGACACCACCACAGGCCAATCTCTTAAGAGATTTCAGTATTTATCCATGAAGATGCAATCCCCATACTTGGAAGGTACAAGAAAACTAACACCACTGTCTGACTTTCAGGAGAGAAACCTTTTCAACCATAACCCTTAACTACAAAGATCATTAGCCCAGGTTCCGAAATCCGATTCTGTAACAGTTTTCAACATTAGCAAACAAAAGACAACGTTAGAACCAGTCACCAAAAGGAGAAAACCGTGTAGTGTTAACTGTCAACTAATTCTTCACATTTCTCTTCTGATGGCAAACCTTAGGGACACCAGACAGCTACAAACAAGCCTTCCCTTGAATATCAAGACAAGATTACAGTGAAATGTCAAAACTTGGATGATGGGTTGGTTTAAAACCGCTTCCCGGGTGCAGCTAAATACTGTAAAATACACATAGATCACGACCAAAGCTTCACAGATCGTTTGGGAACCTATTGCAGATCATTTTAGGTTAATACAATCTCGGGATTGATCAAGAAGCGGGAAATTTTCAGCAACTAACCATCAATCAGAACATCAAAACTGACTCCCAATAACATTCGTCGAAACCAAATCCTAGATTCTATAATCACCTTCGATGAAGTAATCAGAAGAGGGCCATCCCCGATCCGAAGTGGTGGAGAGAGATTCCTCGTCGGTCATCGGATTCGCTAGCTTCTCGACGAGCTGTGCGATTCCATGGGGCTGGGATCTCGGTGGCGGGACCCAATACGATGCGCCGGGAACAAATGGTAGCCAATCAGGTGCGGATCGGCGCACGATTATACGGTGGACTGCGTCCTCCAGCTTCTGGATGAGAGGATCGATCTGCGACTGCGACGCGGCGGTGTCGGTCTCGTGGAGATCGCCGCCGTGGTTGGAAGGGCGGTCGGAGGATTGAGATCGGACGGAGACGAATCGAGACGAAGGGACGAGAGAAGCTGCTGCTGCGACGAAGCGGCTTCTAGAGAGAGAAAGTGACAGCGAAAGAGAAGGAGCCATGTAGAGAGAGGTACGTCCTCTTCCTCCAATGGAAATTTTTACGTATAAAGCGCACTTTCCCTTCATTTGTCTTTTTTAAAATACTTTTGTCCTGAAAGTTTCTTTCTATAAAAATATTCCGATATTTCCAATAATTTTATAATATTTTGATAAAAGTTTAATCATATAAATTAAAACAATTACCCAGGGCACTAAATTGGACGCGGCTGACGTGGAAATGCTCACGCAGCCAGGCTTTGATTCTTGATGATTTTTAAATTATAAATTTATTTTTGTCTGGACCGTCGCCACTCGTCAGTATTAATTAATTATTCCAAACAAAGAATAAAGAATTTAGGTGAAAAGACTAACATAATACCGCGTAACTTTTTTCGTAGCCTGTGTATTTATACGAAATATTAAAGAACTTAAAATAAGTCAGAATTATTTTTCTCTGTACATTTTTGCGGGCCTGAATTTTATTTGGGCTAATAATTTTGAATTTAGTCCATTGGGTTGATTGGTGATTTGGAATGGTCTGGGCTGAACAGGCCCGTTTTATATCCCCTCCCTCCCATATTCGAATCCTCTGGCTGAGGTAGAAACTTCCCATGTTATTAGTTTTTATTTTGAGTTTTTTATTTTAGTTTTTTGTTTTTTGGTTTTTGGATTTTTAGTTTTTGGTTTTTATATTATTGGTGAATGTAAAAAAACAAAGTTTTGATTTTTAGTTAATAATTTCACTAAAATGATTTTCAAATTTTAAAGAAAACCAAATTTTATAAAATCTTGTTAATTTTTTTGATTTTTTAAATTTTAAAAACCCAAAAACCTCCTCCATTTCTATTCAACGGTAAGCATTGATGGATTGTGTGTGTGTGTATATATAAATAATAATATTAGGAGAGTGGTGGGAAAATTAAAGCAAGAAATTAATCAAATTTAGAAAGATTAGGTGGAAGGAAACCCAGTTGGTAATTTAACCGATTTAACAAATTTGTAATTTTATCATTTAATGCAAATTATGATCCAATTTTTTTCCCCTTTAGAAGATTTGACCAAGACAGACTTTGCATGAGTGTATGTCCTTCTTCTTCCTTTCTCCCTCAGTCTGGTGGAGAATTAAAAACAAAACAAAAACAAATCTTAGCCCTTTTAGAGAGAGAGACTGAAGAGAGAGAGTACTCACCAGTTGTTGCGGCTCGAAGGGAACGAGATTGAGATCCATACGCGGAGGGAGAGAGATTACGGAGATGGGATCTCGGCTTCTTGAGTGTTGCTTCACCTTCGTCTTGTGCTGTCAGTCCGGGAACAGCAACTGCTTTCCCTGATCATTTTCTCGGCGTCCAAACTTGGGGGTTCATTTTCTGTCCTTCTTGCGTCCAATTCACTCGTTCTCAGGTACCAATCGCTACGGGGGTTTTATTTCGTTTCGTAGCCTGTATTTCTCTCTAGTGATCATTTGGCCCATTTTGAGATTTATAGGTCATTTGCCGTTTTCGTCTGCTACACTATCTTCTGGATTCTTAGGGTTAATTTGGGGTTTGGCTAGAAATAGCGATCTGGGTTCCGATTTGCACTCTATTGGTTTTGAATGTTTTGCTCTTTTGAGAATTTTCTCTTATTTTGTCCGATTTTAGACAGACACTGCTTCTAGTTTTGGAGATTATACTGGTTCCAATTCAAGTGGTCTCTGAGTTTCAAGTGACGACCAGATTGTAATCCTTTACTATTTCAATGGCTATTAGGGTTCGGGTATATCTGGTTCTGGTGCACAGGCTTCTCCAAAAAAGATTTCCAATTTTTATCCGTGCGATTCATGGGAAATGATTTGGATTTTGGAGACACCAAGGTTATTTGATAGTTCTATTCGGCACAGTTGTAGATTTGTTGAGTACTGTCTGTTTGATAAAATGACATCAGTGATGTTGGATCTGTTGGATTGAAGGGGTGGAACCTCAAAAGAGTAAATTTCATAGGCTCAAAGTGACAGCTAATGACCCCTTGTAGATAGACGGTGCCTTAGGGGCTTGAGTTTATGGGTTTTCTATCCATTACTGATTATGGAATCTTGTTCGGTTCATAGCAGTATAGCCAATGGGTTTTGTTATTTTTTGTCTGCAAATAATTGAGAGAAATTTAGAGATGTCTATTGGTGATTACTACTTGGTCCATTGAAAATAGTATGTCTGGTTTTCAAATGGTGATTCTGCTTTCTTTATCTGTGAGATCTGGGAATTCAGACATCAGGTGGTGGGTATGGAGTTAATGAGTGTGGTTGCATCATCTCAGAATATCGCTATCTATTATGTAGTAACTGTAACCATTTTGTTTCTGTAATATGGCTATTGTGGTTTGCAATGTGGTTGAAAGAGCAGCCCCCTCCAGTTCTCTTTCTGGAGCGTATTTAGTATAGGATCCTGATGCAGAATCCATATTTTTCTAGTATTTTATTTGCAACAGTTTCTCCCTATGTTTTCCTAGAGTTTTTCTTGTTTTGGACTTGATACTTATTTGAATTGTGTATTGCTTTATATGCATGACTGGGGTAAACTATCTGTTGTGTAGAAGGCTTCTGTGTCGAAAAGCTAAAATTAAGTTTTTCGGCAAAGGAACTCTTTAAACAAATTGGAGAAACTTGAGTCATTCTTCTGATACTTGGATGCTCTGCAATAGGCAGAAGATGAATCTTCAAATGTCGCCCTACTAGCTAGTAAATGTTTGTGGACTTTAATGCTCTTTAAATTTCACTTTGGTTCTTGTATTTCCTTTACCATTTGCAACTTGACCATGTATCTTTTTTATTAATTTTAATACAGTTTACTTCTATATGTACGATCAATGTATCTTGGTGGCTTTCTCAGCTCTCCCATTTTTTTTATAGGACTTTGAAATCCTGAGGTTTTAGCATATTGCGTTTGGTTGTCATCTAGTGCCTTAATCAAGGTTTTTTTAGAAGAAACCAAATGGGTTCAAGATATACATCTCACCAGCTCAGCAACGGGCTTTATGTTTCTGGCCGGCCGGAGCAGCCCAAAGAAAGGACTCCGACAATGAGTTCAGTAGCCATGCCCTACACGGGTGGTGATATCAAGAAATCGGGGGAATTGGGGAAGATGTTTGATATTCCAACAGATGGAACTAAGTCAAGGAAGTCTGGCCCCATACCTGGTGCTCCCTCAAGGACTGGCTCATTTACAGGAGCTACACAATCAGGTTCCAACCTGCCTAATGCCACTGGCCGTATGTCTGGCTCGTTAGGTTCTGCTGGGTCAGCTTCAATGAAGAAAACGAACTCTGGACCTTTATCTAAACATGGGGAGCCTTTAAAGAAATCATCTGGCCCACAATCTGGTGGTGTAACACGGCAAAATTCTGGTCCTATACCTGTACTTCCAGCTACAGGTCTCATAACATCTGGGCCCATTACATCTGGTCCTCTGAATGCCTCTGGGGCACCTAGGAAGGTGTCTGGTCCTTTAGATTCTTCTGGCTCAATGAAGGCACATATGTCTTCTGTTGTCCACAACCAGGCGGTAACGACCCTTGGCCCAGAAGATGACTTTTCGTGTATGGAGAGCTTCCCAAAGCCCGTGCTGTGGTTGGTTGTTCTTATATTTGTGATGGGGTTCCTTGCTGGTGGCTTTATTCTTGGAGCAGTCCACAATCCAATTCTCCTCATTGTCGTCGCTGTATTGTTCACGGTAGTTGCTGCACTGTTCATTTGGAATATTTGTCGGGGGACAAATGGTATCACAGATTTCATTGCTCATTATCCTGATGCGGATCTTAGAACTGCCAAAAACGGTCAATACGTTAAGGTCACTGGGGTAAGTATCCAAACGCTGCTCACGTGGTTTTTCTTGTTGCTACCGTAATACAAGCTGTCAACATGTTCAGTGAAGTTGTCTTTTCCATTCCATGGGAATACCCTTTAGGATCTTAGATAAATTGTATTCAGGTCACTGATAGCAGACTATAGTTCTTTATGCATTAGGGAAAAGTGTACACTTTTTAATAAAAGAGCCAGTATTACCGAGCTAGCACAACAAGAGTTGGGCTTGCATGATGTATTATGGAAAGAGAAACTGATCCATGTCATTCAGCTGTCAGAATGCACTTTTCTGCTAGTCAGGCTTTTTCTATGGTTGTGATGCTGCTTCTGTTTGTTATCATTGAAGGTGGTTACCTGTGGTAATGTGCCACTTGAGTCATCCTTCCATAGAGTTCTGAGGTGTGTGTACACTTCCACATGTCTGTATGAGTACCATGGATGGGGTTCAAAACCGGCTAATTCTTCTCATCGCCGCTTCACCTGGGGACCGATATCAGCTGAGGTTAGTGGCCCAAATGCCTTTCTGGTCTTTTCAATCTTTTAGATGATTTTTCTGTCTCTCAAGGAAGAGAGAAAGACAGATAGGGTCAAGTGATGATCTTGAATTTTTCATTTCGTAGAAGATGCTATTTTTTCCTTGATTCGATGTATAAAACTTCTTATGTGAACCCCTCGGTGTATAAAATGTTTTCTCCTACGCTGCAGAGACATGTCGTGGACTTCTACATCTCTGATTTCCAATCCGGGCTCAGAGCGTTGGTCAAAACTGGGAATGGTGCCAAGGTTACTCCCCTTGTCGATGATTCTGTTGTCATCGACTTTAAGCCCGGAAGTGAACAATCGTCCCCTGACTTTGTTAGGTGGTTGGGCCAGAAGAATCTGTCTAGTGACGATCGAATCATGCGGCTTCAAGAAGGGTAAGGAATCTCTCCTAGTGATAAATATTCGTCAAGTCAAATAATTTAGAAAATAAGAGCATGATAAGTAGGCCATATAACTAAATTCAGTATATGAAACATGTATGTATGGTTAGAGCAAACCCGGAAAATTCTTGAACGTTACATTCTCCTAAAACATTTCAATGAGGAGACAGTGATGGATGGATTGTGATCATAGCTGGGATATAAATGATAATATATTTGAATCTGAACAGTTTCTTCTTCCGATTCATCGAGTAAACCTCTTTTTTTTTTCAGGTATATCAAAGAAGGAAGCACGGTGAGCGTGATGGGAGTAGTGCAGAGGAATGATAACGTGCTAATGATAGTCCCACCGGCTGAGCCACTTGCGGCCGGTTGGCAATGGAGGAACTGCACTTTCCCAGTCAGCCTCGACGGCGTTGTGTTGAGATGTGAAGACTCTTCGAACGTTGATGTCATTCCCGTGTAAGTAACCCTCGCTACCAAGCAGCCTGATGAAAACCATCATCACTCTTCTCGCTCGGGGTTTCATTACAGTTTTTCAGGAATCTGGGGATGGGGGAAGGTGTGGGTTTCGCTTTGATCTTCTGATTCGTTTCGTTTGGTGATACGGGATTTTGTTTTTCTGAGTTATTATTAAGGGTAGGATGATGATGGTGATGGTGATAGTCATCCTCTTCGTGCCATAACGTCTTTTTCTTTGCCTTTTGGTTTTGTATAGAGCTCTCTCCAAGTTGAGGGCATTCTTCTTTCTCTCTCTTTTTCCTGCAACAGAACACAGAACCTCTGTGTCTTCTCCTCCAGGGTGTGTTTTCTTGTTTATTCTTTTTTTTTTTTTTTTAAATGAAACGGAACACACACTTTGTTCTTTTGAACCATGTTTGTTGAGCTTTGCTCGTTATCATGTGTTTTTCTTGATGCCTTTGTGAAATTTGCTGTCCGTAATGAACCGTAGACTGTTGGTATTTGTTTTTCTTTTCTTAAGCATATTGTTTTATCTTTAAATTCCCAGCAGTTTATACAAAATAAATAAAATAAGCATGGGGCTCATTAAGGTTAAAAATTGTTTGGAATCTAGTTCAAGGTAAGCTAGTGATATATATAGTTTATTTGACTGTTACTGTCAGATATATATATTATTTCTTATAAAAAAAATAGATTTAATTTTCTGAGATTTTTTTATTTCAATCATTTTTATACGCTTCAAATTTTATTAATTTGATTTTTAAAAAAATTCAAACTTTTTTTTTATTCTTAAGAAAATGAAATGTTTTCACACCATGACCATTTGAGACCTCTGAAATGTGTTAAAGAAAAAAAAGGGGTCATCTCATGTCATGAAAGGGAAGAGCCACCGCATCTCAGCTCCGTTCCCATTAGACAAATAGTATATCTTCTTCCAGCTTTCCTCCGAGAATCCTTCCCTCCTCACCATTCTTTGCCTGCACCCATCATCATCATCATCATCATCATCATCATAATGGCTTTTCAAGTTTTTGGATCAAAATTTATTACCAATGCCTTCCATTCATGTCCAACAGATACGGTCTGGCCATGGAAGCAGCCTGTGCTGATGATGATCATTTAGGCAAAAAACGAAAAAGAATATCATGTTTTGCTTCACATACCGAAGGTAGTAATGGCAGACTGATTCTGCTTCTTCCAGACTATAACGAGGGAGACTGAGGCGTGCATCGAGCGGTACATCCGGCAAGTCTTTCCGTAGCTTTCCCACCGCTGTTGAATGAGAGAAAGCACCCACCATCATGTCATCATGCATCATACTCCTGAAAGCATTTACCTGTGACATGATCAAATGTCATCAGACAAGCCCATGGGAGGGAGAGATGCCATGCCTCATGACAGAATCATAAGCGGTAAAACTCTTAAAGGAGACTGACTAACCATTGTCAGTTCTCTGGCATGTATTGGTCGACAGGATCGAGGTGTTACAGGCTCCTCGTACTCACTGAATGTAAACCAATTGTTATACTGAACATAAGGAAGAATGAGAAGATTAACAGCATAAGCATTCATAACTACAGACAGAAAAAGCCAAAAGCCAAAGGCCGAAATCTTTTGAATCGCGAAGGGTAGGAAGGACTAACTTGATCGATTGCAATCAACACTGGTATGTCTTTAACGAGTGAGAGTTCTTTCCTCAGACGTACCACCACACCAACAGCTGCATGGGTGGTCTGAATCCCCATTTGCATGAGGTCAAACAGAGTTGATCCCTCAGGAATCAACATAGTGTCTGCTCCTTTCATGAATCCAACACCCGTTCCCTCCCCGAGGGGAATGGGATCAGATATTTGGCATGGAAGCTCCCTTAAGCGTGATTCATTGAACTTAACAAAATCCTGCATAAGGCAACATCAATATTCAAAATGCTCTTAACGAACTACCAGCAACTGCAGCCCCAAAGGGGAGGGGGGAAGCAGAACCTTGCCTTGAGAACATTCTCTGCTTGTAATGGCGTGTCCCAAAAACCCGTGTGTGGATTCTTATAGAAGTAGCCTCCATGAGTCCAATCACGGCCTTTCGGTGCATACAAAACTAGCCAGCCCTCATCACGTGCCCAATGAACAAGCATTGCAAGAGCGATACTCTTTCCACACTTAACAGGGCCATCCAGGACAATCTGTTTCCTGATTTTTGAACCTTGGCAGGCAGATAAAACAAATGTTGATTTATAAAACTACTTGCATGATGCATCATGGTCCTGAATATCAATCAATCAATATAAGATTACTCCAAATTTAAAAATAAGGAGAAATACAAGAAAAAAATATAACCAACAAATTATCCTACTAAAAAGGTCAAGATGCAACCAAACCTAAACACTGCATATATAATTTCTGCACGAACATGGCACCAAATAAACATCAAGGTACGCAACCACATTCGATCAAACGTTTTTGTTCATAACTTCATATACATCAAAATCCATCATAAAATACCAAAGATGAAAGAACCTAGCTTGAGCCAGAAAGCAAACAGGGTATTGATAAAGAACACACCTTTACTGTCACTTGGCCACATGGGAGGATCCACAATGCGTCTGAAATTATCGCGCAGAGCCAGGAAACTTTTTCTAACAAGCAATGCAGGCCTCATTGACTCCTTGAACTCCTCTACCATTCCTGAAGGCAATCCCTCCGGCAACACTCCTCTCAGTGTTGCCTCGCTAAAATCCCGACACGTTACATGATATCAGGACCACAAAACTACACATTAACAGACAAACTCACGCAACACGGGGATCGATGTAGACGAAGTTCAGTAAATATAATCAGTCAGTGTGAGATACTTGAATTTGAAGTAGGAGCAAGCATCCTTCGGCGAGAGCTCCGAAAGGGTAGCTATCGATGTGAAGAGAGGCCGCCCGTTGGGACCCACATCGAGAGACGGATTCATCTCGTCCTCGGCCAGTCGCCGGGCGCGAGCAGCATCGAGGTCGTCGCCTCCGGCCGACCCAAACTCGCCGTCTTCAGCTCCGGCGGAACCAGGATCGCCACCTTTGGATTTAAATTTTTTGCCATCAGCCTTCTTCGCTTTGCTAACGTTAGCCTTCGTGGACTTGGAAGAAGAAAAACACCGCTGGACATGGTCCAAGGTCGGTAGTAGGGTTCGCCCGGCGACTGAAGGCTCCGCCGGAAAATGGCTGGTCGTATCAGTTCGGAGCCAAGTTCTCCGGTGAGATTTGAAACTCCCGAAGGCGGCCCTGACGGTGGACCTCAACATTTCTCCGGTATGTCTCTCTCTCTCTCTCTGCGTCGAGGTTTTAAGGAGGGATTTGGGGTGCGAACCGGGTGTTTCGCCGTGAAGCAGCGAAGGAATGGCAAATTAGTAATAACATATCAGAACTGGGGGTATTAAAGGTAATTTTATACATTATTTTATGGGCTTGAATGGGCGGCCCAAATAAGCCACTTAGCATCGACATAAGTCTCAAACGAAGAACAGCAGCAGTCCTAAAGAAATGGGTTCCGAACATTTCATAAATGGTCTTATTAATACTATGCGGTAATTGTAATTTGTAAGAGTAAAGACCAAACTCGAATCCGACCATCAAAGAAAAACCCAGTAAAATGCAGAGAGAAAAAAAGTTTTTTTTTTCCATTTTCGGTTTTTCTAAATCAAAAGCATTTGTCAAATGTTCGAAATTCCCCACAAAAAGAAGACCCAAAAACAAAAAGGAAGGATGCCCCCCATCAATTGGAGAGTTTTACAATTGCAAATATGGATAAAGTTGAGTCTTAACCCTAATCATCCATACATATTCAGTGATGTTTACATGAGAAAACAACCTTAAAAGGGGGCAGGATGAACCAGAAACCCATATATGTATATATATATGTTTTCCTTCACTTGTTGATGGGATATATATATATATATATATTTCGCCATGGAATATTTATTCTCGGCTTCTCTTTCGCCCGATCATGATCATATATATGCTCATGCTCCGCTTGCATAGAGGCGCGTCCATTCCTTTGCTGCACAGTCCAAAACCGATATGATTCATCGGATGAAGGAAGAAGAGAAAAAAAATGGCCAATCAAACTCTTGAGTATTAGATTAGGTAACTTCACCTGTTTCCACGGCTTCCGCCTCGTTTGTCTTCCAATGCTTAGCTATGTTCTCGGACAGTGGATCATCTGGGTTCGGTGCACTTAGAAGAGCTTGGATGCTTCAGGGCACGCCAAATAAAAATTCAAAACATCAGCCATTGTAGTGACGTTTGCACTCATAAAAGAAAGTCTAATCCTTTCGGCTAAAAGATGTGTATATCTGTACACATACATATACATATATTCATTGCTCGGTGTTATAGCGAGTTGTGAATCTATGGAATTATACCTCAAGAGCACTGTTCTTATTTGTAGTGCAGGACTCCACTTATCTTTCAGGATATCAAGGCAAATCCTTCCCAGCTATACAAAGAAACACTGTCTCATAAGCAAAACAAACATTTTTTTTTCTTTTGTTGCTTGCAAGGTAAATATGTGGGTGAAGAAAATTCGTAAAACAGACCTTGTCAATGTTAGGATGGTATATCTTGGTGAGAAAACGAACCTGAATCAAATCAAAAACATAAGATAAAACCGAAAAATATCAGAAACCAAAACTGGTTAATAGAACACTTTCCAGACAATAACAATTCAAGAACGGAGCGAGGCAAAAATAACTTGCAAACAATAAGAGCCAGCCACTATATCAAAAACAGGGTTATCTTCAACAATTTTAAGTGAAGATACACACAGCTGATCAAAGAAAACTCCATAAAAAAATCTCCAATCTCCGCAATCACTTAACATTGTAGGTCATGTCAACGACATTGATCATATTTAAGTTACTACAAATATTCGAAATACGGAAGATAGAAAAGGGGAAAAGAAAACCCACAAACAGCAAGCGACTTACCTTGGGAGCTGCCATTGGATATTCTTCAGGCAGAAAGAGCTCCAACTTGAAAACGCCTCCTAAAGAAACGAGCCAATGCAAACGATTATTAGCACATGCCACATAATGGAAAAGTCTTACACAGGCAGAGTTTGAAAGATAAAACGAAAAAGGCGCAACTTTAGCTCAGGCAACGAACCTGATATATCGATAAACTTAGTTAACATTAGTTGTAATAAGCTGAATTCATCCATTTCACCACATATCAACACATGCATAGCCTTTTGTCTTTTAATAGCAGACAGTCAATAACTTCATTCAGTAAATGGAGAAGCAACCAAAACACTTAGAAGACCAGGAATCAATCAATCATTAGAAATTTCAACAGACGCAATCAACAATGAGGGTTGTCTTGTCGGAGATGATTGAACAATCACCTTCATAAGGAGACTGCGTAGGGCCGAGGATCATAACATTGAAGTACCGCATATTATCCTCAGATGGAGAAGCACTTATCCCGGGAGCTGCAAAGATCGATTCAGACAAACTCCATCAAAATCAGCTAAATCTTTCTTAACACAAAACTCGACAATCACGGAAGATCAAACTTCCGACTGAAATCCCGAGTTCCTCGATCAAATTCCCATTTCCGTCTAAAAATAAACTATAAACCAAAAAAGAGCTAGAACGAATCGAATAAATTTACCCGGTTCACTGAGCAGACGTTGAGTTTCCTACCAGATCGCGAAGGTAACAAAAGTCAGATCAAAGTACAAAATTGGAAGAATAAGATCAAACAAAAAGTATTGCAATTCGGCTAGCTTTCAGGCTCAGTCGGTTCTTCCTTGGATCGATTCAAGATTAAAACCCCGACGAGACATCGAGAGAGAGAGAGAGAGAGAGAGAGAGAGATTGGCAAAAGGGGTCGAGAAAAAGAAGATCAGAAAACAACAGACCTTGATGATTCTTCGGGGAAGATTGCTGTTTGCCATTGTCACGCCGATCGATCCTCACAGAGCCTAGGGTTTTCTTTTCCTTTTAAGAGCGAGAAGCTGAGAAAGACGAAGGGAGCTGGTGACAATCGTGAGGACGGTTCGTCGTCTCTGACGTGCTCCTTGATGCATTTATTTCCTTTCCCTAAAATATCTCCACTGAAAAAAAAAATGGTATTGCGTTATTGTAATAACAAAAATAACAATAACGATAATAACATTTTTAATAAAAACAAACATCGATCTCCCATGTCTTTTTTGTTTAAATTTAATTCATAATTAGATCGTTATCTGTCCAACGGAGGCAGGGCTTATGGTCCTAACGATAATTAATAATCTATTTAGTTTTGCAATACATTCAGAGGGTTTTGACATTAATTAAACAATTCCCGTTGTTTATTAGTAATTTATTTATTAATCAAGAAAATTAATTTCCATAATTCCATTCGTTTTTTTTTCTTTTCTTATTCCATTTATTCTTTTAGGACGCGTTGGTCAAACGCCAAGAGTTCATCCTCTCGTAGTGGTGGGTAGACTCCCTTGGTCCACTCACGAAAATACATTTTTTTTTGGGATAATTACATTTAAAACCCTGTACTTTTCTCTCGTCGCAATTTAAACCCTATACTTTTTTTAATACAAAAAAACATTGTACTTTTTAAAATTGGCAATTAAAACTCTGTACTTTTAAAAATTAGCAAATAAAACCCTGAACAATAAAAAATATTATTTAATGCTGACATGGCATCCTATTCACCTGCCACATCATCAACTCTTAATATTTAATAATATTAATTAATAAAAAATAAAAAATAATATTAATAAAAATAAAATTTGAAAATTTATATACATTCATAAAAATTATACACATAAATAACACATACATAAAACATATTTTTATATACACATATATCTATATAATACATACATATTTTTATGTATGTGTGATATATGATTTTTTTCCTAAAAATCATACATATATATATATATAATGTTTTTTAGGGAAAAATACATATATAACATATAATAATTATACACATATATAGATATATATGTATCATATGTATATATGTATATATAAATATATTTATATATGTATATAATTTTAAAATTTTTATAAAAGATATACTCCACAGTCCACAGGTCTCTCTCTCTATATCTATGTATATGTAATCATACATATATATATAATATTTTTTTATATAATGTTTTTATGGGAAAAATACATATATAACATATAATAATTATACACATATATAGATATATATGTATCATATGTATATATGTATATATTTTTTATAAAAAATATGGACACGTATAAAAGGAAAACGTATTTGATATGAACTTATAAATTAGAATTTCGAATCATACAAATTTGCACCGGAATAGATTTAAAAATCAATGTATATATACATAAACATTATTATTGGACACGCGAGAGAAAATATAAAGATCTGAGATCAAGTTTTTTTTTTAAAAAAAAAAAGATAAAAAAAGAGAAAAAGAAAAAGGAAACATTTAAAAATTACAAAAGGGACATTAGTATTTAGCAGTGGGCACAAAAGTTTTTTATAATGGTAATGTAGGGAATAATTAAATAATTAAATATTAAAAATATGAGGTCAGCATCATTAGGGTTTCACTTAATGCCATTTAAATTAAAATATCAGACATATCATATTCCGGAAACACAGTATACTAAATAACATACACAATCGCACTCCGACATATATAATTTCCACGTGGACCCCACTAATATTTATCTATATATACAACCAAACCCTCCCCTTAAATCTCAACAAGGCCTGTTTTCCACAAAACACAGGAGAAAAACCCTAACACATTTCGCAATTTTTTCTTCAGAAATCGAAGAAAAACCCTAAATTTGTTTTTTGAAGAAGAGAAAATGGCACTGGCCGGAGCAGGACTGGGAGGGACGAGCATCGCCGAGGCTTACTTGATGAGGAAGATTCACAGGGAGACGACGAAGAAAGCGACCAGCACCGTCGCCACCGGCGGAGAGGACTGCGGCGGAGGCGGAGGGCTCCGGGAGGCGATGAGGCCGCCGGCGAGAAGATCCGGTCGGTGGTTCTTTGGGAAGATGGCTCCGAAGAAAAGCTCTGCGAAAGTTTTGGATCTCATGGCGACAGAATAAATGAGACTGGTGGTGTCTGCCTTTTTTTATTTTTTATGTTTGTTTTTGGTTTGTGTTTTGGTGATATTTTAATAAATGTAAATCTTATTATGGATCTTGTGGTGTATAATATGGTCTACGTTATTTAAGATTGTACCTTTGTAACAAAAAAATTATTAAACTTTATCCATTCGAACTCCGATTCTTGAGCTACCAAATCCAACCTACACAAAACTATTTTTTATGTTTGTTTTTGGTTTGTGTTTTGGTGATATTTTAATAAATGTAAATCTTATTATGGATCTTGTGGTATAATATGGTCTACGTTATTAAACTTTATCCATTCGAACTCCGATTCTTGAGCTACCAAATCCAACCTACACAAAACGGCCATTTAAAGTCAATATTTGTAAATACTCAAAAGACAAATTATATATTCTTTTAGTAATTTTTTTTTCAAATATTTTAAAATATATATGATATATCACATGAGGTGAGAAAGTAAGATACTGTCCAAGCTGCGCTTTGCTCTAATATCTAATAGAGTTTTAATGCTAATATATATTGAATACTAAATCATAGACCAAATTGTATTTTCTTTAGCACAGCAAAAAAATAATATTAAAGAATATACAAAATACGGAAGGGCATATATAGGAAAAAAAGCTTTGAGTGGACAAATTCATGATTATTAAGAAAATGATCACGAATCGTGGAATATTTTATTAGCCTGCCACCCAACTATGCATATGCCACAAAGTACATACTATATAGTGAATAGGGTATATAAAAGAATCGGGTAATGCAGGTTTTGGCATCAAAACATTCGTCAAGTTAGTTCGAATTTTTTAAACTTTTTTTTTTTAAACTAATATTTGGTTGGATTTAAATTTATGTTATTAGGTTTAGTTTATGTTTTGATGAAATTGTCTAATTTCATGTCTAAAGTTTTTTTTAATTAAATTTTAGACATGTAATTCGTTCAGATAAACGAAATAAACGAGATTGAAAACGGGCATAAACACCAATGTGTCGTAGGTATCAGGTATGGTACGGATTCAAGGGCTGAGAGTGAATTCAAACTGGATGGATGTCAGACCAATTTGATAGCGTAAATTATTTTTTTAAGGTAAAGATTTTATCGAATGAAAACTGCCTTACACAATACAATAACCAGAAACATTTGTTTTCCGGCGGCTGTGATTAGTGGGCGACAAAAGGAAAATTAAAGAAATGATTGCTGATGTGGAAAGGTTTAAGAGGAAAAAGCGACAAAATTAATATATAGAATGTGTTTAATATTTATAGATATGATATATTGTGTAGATAATATACAAGTTAATGCATCTATCCTTCTCTCTCTCTTTTTTTTAAGAACGATTATTGTCGGACCATGAATTGCAATTCTTTGGTGAAAACAAAGTTGAGAGCATTGAATCAAAAGATTATGATTAGGTCGAGTGAAGTGGACATCTGCGCGTGCTAGGCACGTGATAAGGATGAGCGTGGTACGTGCGACCATAACTAACGAACTAGCCCATAAGTCGGTCCAAAGGATGGAGAATTTTTTTATGATTTAAGATTAATTACATGAAGAAATGTGGTAAAAAAAAAATCAAACATTAAATCAAGAAATGTGGAGTTAAAGAGAGTAACTCCTATATCCTTTGTATCCAAAATCAAGTAGTAGCTGCAATTTTCTTGAACCAGTTTTAGACAAAAAAAAAACCCAACACAGGATCTTGAAAAGGAGATGGCCCATGTTTTACATATACAAATACATCACATGCATCATCGTCATCTTTGGTGGATGTCAGCAAGTTTCAATGGAGCAGCATTCAGTTCAGTGCCATCTCTCCGTTTTCTTCTCCTTTATCTACAAAATGGAAGCAGCAGCCTTGAGCTGAGCTTCCATCGATTGCGGACCGATTATCAACAGAATCTTTTGACATGAAACGGTAAACTGTAAGGTTGGAGGGCGGAATTACCATTGCGTTTGTCGATGGTAGGAGGATGGAGAACAACATGCATTCCGGGAAGGTCACCAACCGGAAGTCTGGACAGAAGTAAGGATTCCTGAACAAGTCACCGACTCAGAAGACAAAACCTTTTTACCAAACAGACCCAATGAGACAGTAGCATCAACATCGTGCTGCTTTGAGAACATAACAGCAAAATCAAACAACGGCGCCGGAACATATAACACACCAACTTCAGCAATCGCATCAAATTCATGGGAGAAATTCATCAGTATAAAAAGACCTTACCTTTAGCCCATTGGGAAATGGTTTTCTCCTTGAGAGACGCCACGGTCGTATAATGACTGTACTTGCTCGGACCGATATCGGTGCGCCATCTGCAAGCCTAAACTTCAGCTCAATCACCTATCATGTCTGAATCCCCCCAAACCAGAAACCCACTTCAAATGCTCATAAGAATCTCCAGAAATCCTCTTCACCATAACACCACCTCCATCTGTCCGGGGAAATTCATCGCGCACAAACCGGATTCGTCAATCCGATTAAAAAGCCGGGTCCAAAGACAGAAACTAACAAAAACCCAGATCGATTCTTGTAGGAATTTTCAAAAACCCTATACACAAACCACGAAACAGACGCGTCAAAGATCGAACAAGGATTCACTGCATAACGCCAAACAGTCTTTCTCTTTTTGACTGCGAAATACGTATCTACATCGATGCTTGTTTTGAGGACCAGCCAAGATCCAATTATAAAATGAGGATTTTTTATATATTAAAATAGCCAAAAGAAAAAGGAAGAAGAATATTATGGTGGGTCCAAATGAACAAGAATGTCTACGCTGATATACATTTACATATGTGCATTTACATGTGTATATATATATATGTATGTATATGTAAATGGCCATTATCATATGCTTGTAGGTCCACAATTAAAGGAGGGAATAAACAGGAGCTACATAATATAATCAACAAACCAAACTCACATGATCAAAACCAAAGACAGAAATTGGGACCAGTTAGGTTCAAGGAAGAAAATCCCAGACCCAACTGAAACTGAAAAGAGGACATGTTCAACTAAGAGAAGTAGATTCTTAATGAGACAACTTCCATTGTCTGAATCAGAATCCCAACCATGTGAGCTTCAAAGCCTTTTCTTATACTCCTCCTCTGCTTTGCTGTGAAAACAATCATGTTGCAGAAAGCAAGGAAGAGATGTAGCCGTGGAACAGGACATGTGATATGTGTATTACATCATATGATTACATGTATGTATCTGAACAGCCGATAGATACCCACAAGTAAAGCATATACGTCGAAAGAGGATCGATCAAGAACCTGAAGTATACATCGTCACGAGATTGTATAGTACTCTTAAGCTTACGTAAAAGGGAGCCAACCCCGGAAGAATGTAGAATCTTGATCAGAGCAGCTTCAAACGACGATATCCCAGACAGATATGTCACGAGATTTTGCTTCAGCTTCTAAAATATCGGCATAGAGCTTCATCGGTAGTGGCAAATAGATGTTTTTGTATGCATTTGCATTTACAAATCTATAACTTGACAGCTGATGAGTTCAGCAGCTCCGAGATCTTTGGTTGCAATGACATTCCAGATAACTGTATCTGATGTATCAACTGAATCAGCTTTTCCATGAAAAGGGCATGAACCCACGACAGGACTCGAGCTGGATGACGGAGAACTCGAGCTATCAGGAACGTCAGCTCGTAGAACAGTAATATTGCGGTTTCGGTCTCTGGTAATGAAATGAAGTTTTCCATGTAACCCAGCAAGTAAATAAGGAGATTCTGATTCTGTCAAGTCGTAAACAGGGACTTCCCCTATGACAACTTTCCATGCATCTTCATTCTGATCATAAACCTTGATCTTGCCATTCTCCGCAGAAGAAGAAGGATCAAAAGCATATAACTCACCATCCACCACTACACTCAATTTTGTCCCGGCTTGCCTTGCAGGCCAACCTTCACCCATTCCTGCCGGCATTTCAACCCATGAATTTGTCTCCGGGTCATAAATCTCTCCTCCTACATCAACAACGATCGGCCAAGAGTATAAGCTCTGAGAAACACATAACCTACCATTGTAAGAAGTCATCCCAGTGGCTATAGGCTTCAAAAAGCCGGTAAAAAATGCATTAGGCAACATTTCAGCCTTTGAGAAAGGCATACTCGGAATTTCTAACCACGTATCACTGCTTGGATCATAAACTTCAGCCGACTGAATAGGAGATAAACCTCCTCGTCGTCCATTATTAACCCCTCCCACAACATATAGTTTGTTATTAAGAATGCCCGTTTTAGAATAAGCCCGATTTACCAACATGGAATTCGCTTTGCTCCACTTGTTAAAAACAGGATCAAACCGCCAAACAGAATTCATAGTCCAAGATCTCGAGAACCCACCAAGAACGTAGAGGCACCCACCAACGGCACCAATGGAACACCCACAAAATGGCATTTGCTCCGAGGCATCTTTCCTGCGAAACCAGTTCCTCACAATCTCAACAACTTTGACACTTGGATTAGCCATATTCCATAAGCTTGAGAAACTTTCTCGAGGTTCTTCTTCGTAAACAGTGGCAGGCATTGGAGGCAATTTCTGCCATTTCATGGACACAGGATCTAAAGCATACCACAAAAGCTTATCCTCTTGACCTTTAGTCAGCACATAGAGCCATTCCTCTGTTTTTCCTAGTTCTTGTCTCAAACTATATAACTCAGAGCTCAGTAAAGCGGATTTCCACTTCCCGGAAACCAACCTCGCTTTAAAGTAGCAAATTCTGGGGAGTCTGGCGAGTATCTGCATAGACAACTCATCAGGAAGACCAGGAATCAATCTGCTACTGTCCCCTTCATACTCCGGAGACATTTTCTGCCTTTTCCGAGATTCACTCGCGTTTCCTTCGTCTTGACTGGACATTCTACTCTTGGAACAGCTCAAGCTCATAATAGAGCCCATAAGAACAATTTTGTAGATGGATCAGAAATTGGAAGGAATCCGTGGATGAATTGGACAAGAGCCACTTATAACTGCAGAAAGGAAACGAGACACATTTGATATTTCAAAGAGATGAACCATTACTGAAAAAAATGATATTTCAAAGAAGCAGAGGCACATTTGGGAAAGCAAGGATGCGTGATTGGAAAATCTAATCAGAGGAAACCAAATTTCCCTTTTCCAGAGGGAATAGAGACAAAGAGGTGAATCTAAAGCTAAAACTTCCAGATTCGCTATTAGTTTACCCCTCTTCGAAACCTATTGCGACACAAATCCACCTTCAAAGTTTTCTCCGAAATCCTGCAGAATTGTCTTGAATCGCAAGAGCCCTCTAGATAATTTCATCTCTAAAACCCTTGAGAGCACGGATTTCATCCATTAAATCCCAAATCCCAAAACGTTCGCATTTGCTGCAAAACCAGTAAAAACCCTAACTCACCGCAGAAGCTGAAACGGAGAGGCCCGTAATCGATCTCGATCTCGCGAAACGAAGAAGACGAAAAGTTTTCAAATTTAAAAAGCCTAAATCGTTCGAATTCATCAGAGAGTGAGAGAGTTTTAAGAAATCGGGATTGTTGGATAGCTAAGACGACAAATCAAGGAATTGGATGATGAGAAAAGCAACATCTAATGTGAACGGAATCTTTAGGTTCCTGTAACCATACGAAAATTAGGTTGAATTGTCGCACGATTTTTTTTTCATGGTCTAATTTAATAATGACACGAACACATATATGACTTTCTCCGGTTTCATTTTTTTTTAAATATTTGCCAATTAAATCATGCTAGTTTAAATTATATTTATATGTCAGACAAATAAGACTATAAAATTGAATGATGGTTTGAATCGTAATTATCGCAATTTTCACGAGTTTTTATTTGTGTGATCTGCCAAAACCCGGTTTGCAGTTTCGGTATGATTATTAGATTTATTTTTCCCCTTAACCGAAACCAAACCAGTGCCGTAAACCGAACGCAATACGGTTAGCCTTCCGTTTGCTCTAAAAACTTTCCCGCCATTTTAAGCAAGTTTTTTTTCTCTCTCTCTCTCTAGATAATCCGAGTCCTTTCGGACCCTTTCCTTCACGAGCCCTAATTCCCTCTCACACACACCCGATTCATCTATGTACATACGTATACGTATATATATATATATATATATGTATATATTTATATATGAACGCGCGCATACTCATGACACAGATATCAAAACTACTTGAGCTGCACAAGATTCTCTGCATGGAAGTCATACCCTTCTATTTAATATGCAAGTGATTTTTCGGCTGAGATAATTGAAGTTTAGGACCAGAAGAACTCCATAGCTATGCCATCTATTTGGGGACTATGTAATGTAATGAAATGTAATGCAATGTTGTAACCATAACCCCACATATTTTTTTCCCATTTAAAAAAAATATATTTCAAGTGCTAATTATACTTGCCCTAGAACTTGTTCTCTTTTGATACCAATGTATTTTTTTTAATAAAAAAACCTCTGATGGGAAATTAATAAATAAAAAACTTTATAATTTTTTACACTTGATAATAAAAACAATCATCCACTCGATTAAGATGTACTTATCATTTTTTTTTCTTAACGTTATTTGACCAACCGTTAATTGGAATTATTTTGTTTAAAACCCTCTAATTGGAAATTATTAAAAAAAACTTTATAATTTTTCATAAATTGAAAATAATATATCTTAATACATGATATGTTAAATCATTCGACTAAATTAAGGTGTGATAATATCTATAACTTTATTTGAATTGTGATAATTTGATAATTAAATTAACTATGGCATATTTGTCATCTCTCCCCACCGTTTGATATAATATTTCGAAAAAAAATCGCGATGTTATAATAATATCAATCATTAAGTTTTAGATATGATAATTTTAAAAAATTTCCACTTTCATCTTTAATAAAGTGTATAATTTTTAAGTACAATGAAAATATTGTGGGGGGGGGGTATATTCTTGAAGGCAATAATTTTTTTGAAAAGTATTCCCTATCTATGTTACTTGTAACGATAACAGAAATTAAAACAAACGTAAGACTAACAGAATTGCTAATTTAGTTATTTTTTTCAAGAGTTCGTATCTGAAAACTGATATTTGGTATTGATACCATCCTTATAATTATAAATACTATATATATCATTGGAATCGGATATTACGTATGTTGAATAGAATTATCCAAATTAAAAATATACGAAGATTTTTTCTTTTTTTTATGAAAAAATATACGAAGATGTGCATCAGAATCGAACAACCCTAAAATTAGCTGCTCTAAATTCTAATCACTAAAAAAATCGAATTAAAATTTAATAATTATGATCGCAGGCCACAATTAATGATAGCAGTAAAGATAAAAGGGAATTTTATTGGGCCCAACAGAATATCTCTTTTATGTTTAGGATGTTGAGATAATTATGGTAATCCAGTTGTGAACTTACATGATCGACACATGTACTCAATACTGTCCTTTGTGTATTTATGTAAAGAAATTTTCTTTAATTATTATAATTATGAAATAACTAATCGAGTAAATTCGTATAATGGCATTAGTTTGTTTCCCGTAAGATTTTAACGTAGATGCGTACGTCCAACATTTAGCTATATCCTTATATATAGATAATTACTTGATATATCATCGTGTCATTCTCCAAACTTAAAGTATTATTATTATTATAACTGTCGCTCTTAGATACATCGTTTATATAAAATTGATAGTAAACTATCTTATTTGGGTTCATTTATAATTCCAATATATTCAAAATGTTTTATCTCTTATTTGACTATTTTTGTTTTCTGCGAAACAATTTATTAATATAAAAACTACATAAAAAACTTAAAATCATCAAATTTAATAACCCACTCATTGCATTGAAATCTCCCTCTCGCTATATATATAACATATATCCTCACATGCAGTTGAGATTGATATAAAAGAAGAGGGAGGTTGAGATAATAATTATTAAAGTTAGAAACATTAATTATTTTATAGAATAAATTTCGAAATGGGCAGAGAGACTATGGACCGATCATACAGTTGTTTCCCTTTATATAATTAAAAAAAAAAACATTAATAAGAAAATGAAACATTCTCTTATCTTTTGCTCTTTGTAGTAAATGCATTCCCTCTCGATTGATAGGTATACACACACATACACACACCGACGATATTTAGATACACGTGAATCGCTGATGATTTTATTAACATCTTCTCAAATTAGTTCACTCTACTTAACGCACAAAATCTTGAGTGTTTCATCAACCATGAATGAATGAACTAATATATACACATAATTCTTCTTCCTCTTTTATGTATATGTGTGTGTGTGTATATATATATATATAGGAGTCTAAAAATAATAAAATTTCAAAACAAAAAAAAAAAAAAGAGGAAGAAGAATCCGAAACACGAAGAGGGAGAAGGTTAAAAAACCTCCTTTGGAGAGGGAGGTTTCTCGAGTTCTCCGATGACTCTTAGATTTCATGGTCCCCTCTCTCCCAATGCACCCACTCATTTCCCACACCATCTCTCTCTCTCTCTCGACACACGCACAAAATATAAATAAAATGTGTATGTTAATTATACATAGATACAGACATATATATATATATATGTATGCGCATTAATCAAGAATAGTTACACTTCTGTAAGGTATTATATATAAAAGATATAGTCGAATCAATTAATGCTGAAAAGTTTTAATATTTGATAATATGCATGGAGGAACAATTGTGATTAAGTTTTAAATAACGAGTTCAAAGCCAAAACTTGGTGTAAGATTAAAATTGCAAGAGTAAATGTACGGAAGCAACAATTATAATAATGATAATTTTATCAAAAAAAATTATAATAATGATAATGATGACACGATATTGGACTTAGAGTGTTTTTCTAATCATTATTGGAGACTATAGATAAATGGACCAAAGGAACAAAAAAAAATCCCCAGATTTTTTTATTAAAAAAAAAAAGACAAAAAGAACAAATTATTTCAGAAAATAAAATAAAATAATATTGGCCAGTATCGAATAGGCATATATACTCGATAGTTGATAATGTGAATATATAAAGGAGACTGTTTATATTCTTAAGTATACGCTTATTAAAACATATATTTGAAATATTTCCCTTTTGCGTTTAAATATTTATATCAAATCATTTTTTTAAAATGGTCCACTGCATTAACATATACGTTATATATCATGCTTTAATTTTTTTAGATATCCGCCGTTAAATGGGTCCAAACTGCCACTTGGATTATTATAAACTTTATCATTTATTCGTTAGGCTATCATGTATTGTATTTATATAAATATTGACCGCATTTATTGTTCCTCAACATAATAAATCTCAACCAAAATAAACTCACTGCTCTATTGCAAAATTAATATACATTAATAATTCAATTATAAAAATATTTATGTTTTAAACGAGATTATTCTTATATATGTACTAATTGAATTTAATTCGATTATAGTAATGTGATATATTGTTATTTGATATATAATTCGAACAAAACTATATATTATTTGATTCAAATGTTATTCAATTACATATCCGCAATGATCAAATATATATCTATGAATTGAAGGGCTTTAAGTATCACAAAATTCAATGTCCTAAAAAGACTTTGCGGATGTGCACGAAACCAGAAGGATACGTAAACGAAGAATCTCATCATTTCATTTTGTTCCTTTTTAGCAAAAGATTGGAATTTTGCAAAGCAAAAATAAAAAGAAGTTAAAACTTTATGTAAATAAAATATGATTTTAATTAATCTACTGTTTTTGGGGGAAACCCCCCCACCCACAAAATCAGAAACTCGAGGGAGGAAAATAAGGAATAAGTGCCCAAAAGTGTATTCCAAAACCCTAAATACAATTAAAAAAACTCCACTGTTTTAATAGTATTTTTAAATTTTACTTTACTTAATATTTAGTCCTAGAATTGTTTGTTTTTCTATCTAAATATGTAATTATTTGTTCGTAATTAGAAAATATTATTTGCATAACATACATAGAAATACATGATTAACCATATATATTTTTTGGCGACAAAACACATGTACGAATCCCGCCAACCAAACAAAAAAAGGAAAGAAAGAAAACATACGAAGTCCTTAAATTTGTTTCATATTGATTAGCAATATATATTCTCATATGTGAATTTTTAATTTTCCTAATGAAGTTAAGAATCTAATTTAATTGTAAAAAGTACATGTTCTACACCACCTTTATATTAACTACCTAAAGAATATCCCATTTTCTTATATTTTACACAAAGAATTCAAATATCTATTTTAACAAAAAAAAAAAGAATTCAAATATCTACCTACATGAACTCAAACTTTTTACATAAATCATATATAATAACTTTGCCTTATCTAAACATTTAATTTTGATATTTCGCCTGATAATATATCAATGACTTTTATTTTTCATATAGATTATACATGCTAAATCGATAACATACTAATCAAAGTTTAATACAGTTACTAAAAATATGCAAATTGTAATTGTACATATTACTACCTCGCTAGGAATCAAGCAGTTTATTGAATAGAACAAACGTATTATCAAGGAAGAAGAATACTCCAATGAAACAAAAGATTAAATGGTAAAGCGTGATAATTAATGGTATTGGATACCCCAACGACAATGATTGCCGAGACACACTAAATATTGAATTCAAAGATTATTTTATAAGGTACTAAAAACTTGTGTTAAAGAAAAATAAAAGCATATTACAATTCGATTGTCATACTTTTATTATATGAGCATAAAAAAGCTGACAAATTTAGATGAATCTCATGAAGAATTCATGTCCACTGTCCCCTTGTGTTTCCTCTGTACCTTTTTTTTTTTTTTCTATTTTCAACTCTTCATTTCTTAAAACTTTTATTTATACAATTTTTAATCATAGTTTTATGATTTTTTTTTTCAGATTTTTACCATTTTTTATAATATTTTTCTTGGTAAAAAAATTGACGTATTACTAATCATCCTTCCTCCTCCATAGGAAGCACCCATCATAACTCCCAACAATCTATTAGATATATTCAATATATATATATATATATATATAATTATATATGATATATTTGATATAGCACACAAATAGGAAAGTTAGCTTTGTGGTTGTAATTAGGTTAAACTCTCTCTTAATGAAATCAAAATATACAAGGAGATATATATTGAATATATCTAATACAACCCCTTTCATCCTTTGGAACCTGATAGCGTCTTCTTCTTCTCTCACGCGCTTTCAATCTATACATACACACATACACACAAGGTATATATATATATACACACACAGAGACACTTGTACCTCCCAACCTCTATACAACCTTCTTTTGTCTTCTCACCTCTCTCTTTTCATTGATCATCAAGAAATCGGATTTTTTTTTTAGGGTTTTGCTATTGGGAATTTGTCCCTCGATGGATCCGTCTTCTGTAAACTCAGTGAACGGATTCTACTCCTTCCTCAACAGATCAATGGAGGATCTCGAGAGGGTCTATCACTCGAACAACTTCATGTCCGTACACTTCCTGCAGAGAGTGCTTTGTCTTCTCCGGACATCGCACTCTCACCTCACCCTCCTCGTCCAGAAACTCCAGTTGCCTGTTGGAGACAAGTGGCTCGACGAGTACATGGACGAGACCTCCAAGCTCTGGGACGCCTTCAACGTCATCAAATCCGCCGTCTCCGCCATGGAAAACTTCTGCTCCGCCGGAATCTCCATCGCCTCCTCCCTCGACGGCCATCGCCGCCTCTCCCCGCAGCTTTCCCGCCAGGTACGGACCCTGACGAATCATGGGTCATCGCAAAAACCCGATCTTCCCTTCTCCCAGAAACACTTTTTCTGTTTTCTTAAATGAAGTTCAATTTTTTTTTTCAGGTGAATCGGGCGATATCTGGTTGCAGTAGAGAAGCGTTTGGGCTGGAGCAAGAGAACAGAGCGTTAATGGAGAATCGGATCCGAACGCTGCCGTTTTGGTTGGACCAGACATCGTCGGCGGCGATGGAGTCGTCGAAGGTACAGAACGGCTTCAGCGGATTTCGCGGAGTACTAAACGCGACGAGGAACATGAGCTCGCTTCTCCTGATGATCCTGATGTACGGTCTCGTCTACTTTTTTCCCGGCGAAGCAACAGCGCCGCCGCAGCCGGCGGGAGGATGCGGAGGAGGCTTTGCGGAGGCGATGGGGAGGGTGCAGCAGAGGGTGGCGGGGGAGGCAGGGATGAGGAAGGGGATACTGTTGTATGAGTACAGGCGGAGCAAGGCGGCGATGGAGGAGCTGAAGGCGGAGGTTGAGCGGCGGAGCAACGGCGGAGCGGCGGCGGAGGAGAGGGGGCTGAGCGAGAGGGTGGAAAACGTGAAAGGGCAATTTGGGAATTTAAGGAATGTTACAGAGGGTATCGTGTCTCAGATCGATGATTTCTTCGACGAAATTGTTGAAGGAAGGAGGAAGCTTTTGGATTTCTGCAGTCACAGGTAACCAAATTTAACGCAACACAAAAGGCTTTTAGGTTTTAGATGAAGTGAAAATTAGTTGATAGAGAGTTGCTGCAACTCTTTTCTCTTTTTGTTAATTTCTTTGCTCTGTTATAAACTATTTTTATTTTTTTTTCTCTTCAAATAAAATATGTTTTTATTTAATCTAATGTGGAATTCAATCCAATGTATACTTATGAATCTCTCTCATCATCATCGTTAAAACATTGTATGTCACTTTGAATTCAGCAGACATTAAAGGTTGGACTCTCGTATACATAATGCAACACATTTTATTTTTGGGTTGGGTTTTGGAATAGTTTACAAGTTGTGTTGGTCCAAAAGGGTGAGAAGGAAGTTGAAAAAGAAAAAGGTAATAAATGAATTGACAGTCAAATAATTAAAATTAAATATATAATGGAATGGGCATCTTTTCTTTCCCCATTATTGTTTTTTTATTGCATAATTAGTAAATGTGGAGAGATGCGATAATAATGAGTCCAAAGGGGAAAGCTTTTTGAGTATGATTCCCTTCCACTGATCTTTTCCTTTCCTTTGGCAAATAACCATTGCTGTTGTTTTGCCAATTTCACTTTGTATGGTTCCCATTGCTTTTTTCCTCTTTTTTCAAGGGAACACAAATCTTACATTAAATAGAATGATGTCGAATGTTCTTCTTAATCCTCATCAATACGCAAGAGAGAGAAACACAAGAATTTTTCACTATTAAAATTACAAATATAGATAGAGAGAGAGTTCAGTATCAAAAACAATAAACAGAATTCCAGGCGTTGCCTCCCCCGCAGGGTACCACTCCTTCAATTCCCCTACACTTTCACCTAATATACCAAAACACCCCCCCACCAAAAGGCAAACATTCTTTATTGAGATTTCCCTCTTATTTTTTTTTTTATGTAAAAATGAAGAAGAGTACATTTTATGCTATCGAGAGAATAATAATAACAATAATGGGTGTTTTTTCAAGGAGGGGTCAGACTCAGAAGCATTTTCGTGTTTGAAGGAAATTAGTAGATGTCCCTCCATCCTCTGTCCAACATCGTACTAACACACAGAAACTTGCGGAGAAAGAGAAGAAGTTGCAGCAATGAGATAATACCAACACATGAAGTCAGTCTGAGAGAAGCAAAACCCCAAAATCCAAATAGGTAACGTGGCAGCAGCAACAGCAACAGCAACAACAACAACAACCGCTCTAAAAACAAAACCAAACAAGTAGAAAAACCCAAAGCGTTAGTATGTTCTTTTAGTATTAGCAGCAGCAGCAGCAGCAGCAGCAGTAGTAGTACTCATGGAGGAGGTTCTGTCTCCTTGTTCTTCTTCACGGCAGGTTGATGATGAGCACTCCCTCCCCAGCCTTTTATAACAATGAAAAAAAAAACAAAACAAAATCACAAAACCATATTAAGATTGTTAGAAAAACAAAATGGCTTTTTCAAGCACTCGACAGAAACCCACCAAAGGGATTACAGGAGGAGGAGCATCAATCTAACACACACAAAATTCTACGGTAGGTAAAAAAAAGAATACAATGGAGAGATACCACTACTACACATGCATTTGCTTGATTATATATAGTAGTAGTAAGGCAGGCATCATCTGTACTTGACTAAAAAAAAACACATATCAATAACAGAGCACATTCGTCATGTGTATCAGAAATACCATATGCTGGACTCAATTGAGTTATTCCACCCCCAGGCTCCCAAAAACCACAAAGTCTTACCCAAACATATATTATTGTCAGTAAACTGAATAAATATCTCCATGGGTCCAGCTATATATATATATGTACCCCCTAGTCTACACAGTATTTCATGGGGGAAGCATCACATATTCAGAAACTGGGTTATCAGTAGAGTCGGGACAAAAACAAGGGATATTAATTCAGCTTAACACAACACATTTTCGCAGCAATGGAATTGAACGGTTTTATAAGAGTATTTCTGTGAGAGATGAACATACCTCAGCCAGCTATAATCCGATGCGATAGGGTATCATTTACCGTTCACAGCAGAGATAGCCTCTTAACATTCTCTGGAGGATGATGACCACGACCAGTCAAGGACGAATCAAGAGTGTTGTTCAGAAATTCGATCTCACTGGATCCTTTGCTGCCATCCTCTTCAAAGTAACCAGATTCATCAGCACCACTCTCCGTAGGCTCTGGTAAGTTGATGATCTTACCAAACAATTGAAATGAATTAACCCTGACTCTTGCTGAATTTGGACCTTGGTTTCCAACAGGGTCAGTTCCAGAGGATTGGATACTGCTCTGGCTATGTGGGGACATGTCATCCGACAGCGGGCTGCCATTATTAAGCTCGGTTGACTCTCTTTTCGATCCAGAAAGCAGATTCAAGAAATTGTTGGTGTATATCTGAGGGATATCTTCTCCCATGAAACCGGTTGAATTGTAAGACCCAAAATGATAATGCCTGGCTCCCTGCATGCCAGCAGGAAGTCGACAGTT